ATGCACAGTACATAATACTTGGTAATGATAAACAACTGTTACTGGTTTATGTATTTACTACACTTATTATTTTAGAGTACAAATGTTTGCTGTAAGACAGTATTATGCTGGCAGCAGCCTCATAGATCTTATATTTACCATGTCTCTTGATTGCATCATTTTCTCCTGCAGTTGATTTACTCTTGTTGTTTTTTAAAGTAAATTTAGTGTAGCCTAAGCGTACAGTGTTTGTAAAGTCCGCAGTAGTGTACACTAATGTCCTAGGCCTTCCATTCACTCATCACTCAGACACCCAGAGCAACTTCCAGTCCTGCAGGCTTCACTCACGGTAAGGTGCACCACTCTTCATATCTATCTATCTATCTATCTATAATTTCTTTTAAATATGTTTTTATGGACTTCAGAGAGAGGGAGAGGAAGAGATAGAAACATCGATGAGAGAGAGCTTGTGCGGCCGCCATCCCTCCGCTGGCCCATGCCACCCACTGCCCTCAGACTCACTGTTTTTGTCAAATAAAGACATAAGCCCCCCCCCCTCACCCCCAAAGAAACATCGATGAGAGAGAAACATCAATTGGCTGCCTCCTGCATGCCCCCTAGTGGGGATCAAGCCTGAAACCCGGGCATGTGCCCTGACTGGGAATCATACCAGTGACCTTTTGGTGCATGGGACAATGCTCAATCCACTGAGCCACACTGGCCGGGGCCCATTCTTCATCTTTAATACCAAGTTTTTACTGTACTTTCCTAAGTTTAGATACACAAATACCATTGTGTTACAGCTGCTTACAGTGTTCAGTAGAGTAACATCCTGTATAGGTTTGTCACCCAGGAGCAGTAGCTATACCATACAGCCTAAGTGTGCAGTGGGCTATACAATCTAGGTTTGTATAAGTATACTTTATGATGTTCACACAACAACAAAATTGCCTAAAAGATGTATATATTTTTAAAAGACGTTATTTTTCAGAACATATCCCCATCGTTATGTGGCACATGACTACTCTGAGATTTATCTGTGATCAGGGAGAAGATACAGTTTTTGCCCAGGAGATGTAAAAAATTTCAATGACAACCTGAAATGGTTTAAGACTTTGATATTTTATTAAGAAACATCTTTATTTTAAATGACAGTACAAAAGTTGTATATATAATATAGATCTGTATAGGTGTATATACACACAAATGTTCACTCACCCCTACATACATATACACAAACTTCAAACTTGCTCATCAGAATCAAACCCTATTTTATTAAAATTCTAAATAAAAAAGAGAAGTTTTTTTTTTTTCTTCTGAAAACACACTGTACATAAAGCTGTCAGACAACCTGAAGAATGGAGGACATTTTAAGAAGTATCTAGGCACCCTACCCACAGTCTTCCTCTCCTCTCCCTCCCAACACCCTACTCCCACTCCCCCATTCTCTGCCCCAACACAAATGGCCTTGACAGGTCAGTATACAGGGCAAAGCCAGAGAAGGGAGCTGCTATCATTATTGATAGAACAAGATGCCTGAAACCAAGTAGGAAGCACAGTATTATAGAGTATGACCTAAATTCTCAGAAACAAACCACTTCAGAATAAACAGAAATGTGTAGTAGGGATAGAGGGGAGTGGAAAGAGGAAAGACAAGGCCCATAGTTTAGAAATAACTAATTAAGTTCTAGTTCCTGGGAAAGACTCAATGAGATAAGAACAATGGGGTCACAGAAACAGAAGTAAGCCGAGAAAGGGGAGGAGACAGAGAGATAGGGAATCACAATTTCCTGCCATTAACGAACCAAATTGCTACTATAGAGTCTAGGAATGTCACCCCCCTCTAATCCTAGAGAGGCTCAAAAAAGAAAATAAAAGGCAGCACCAGAGGCTCAAAGCTACTTAATTCAAATTAATATTCTTCTTGCTCAATATATTGGCATAGGAAATAAGAGTACTAACTCAGAAGGGGAAAATATTCACCACAACAGACATAGATAAGAGCCTAGAACAGCATAGGGGTGCTCTTGACATGTATTCCATTCTTAAGCTCCTTTTCCGGCCATACAGAGATGTCTGCACAAGCAGTAGGGAGGTGTAAGAGACTGAACAAGTGCCAGTCAAAACAGCTGCCAGAGGAGTGGAGAGGAGGCTTGCTTTGTGGAAGGGCAGCTCCACCTCTACCTCAACACTGCTCTGAATCTGTTAGCTTACCTGGGGTCATCACACCATACGCTAATCAAATCTCTGTAAAGCCAGGTCCTGGTTCTCCCTGGGGCCTCACTCCTTAGGTTTCTCATTACTACCTGTTAGAGCACAACTCTCAGAGAAGAGCCAAAACAATGATTTTTCTTCCTCAAGCTCTTTAGTGGTTACAAAAGAAACCCTCTCTCATGCATTTACTAAAATAAAATATTTCCAGGTTATACCAGGTACTTGAGAGTTGAACCTCAAATAAAGAGAAAAGTGAGAAAATACATATACATTTATAAACATACACACTAATATACACCCAGCAAAGGGGCATTAAAAATGCCCTGGTCATGCCCCGCTGGCATAGCTCAGTTGGTGGAGTGTTGTCCTGTGCACCAAAAAGTTGCCGGTTTGGTTCTGGGTCAGGGCACATACCTGGGTTGTGGGTTTGATTCCTGATTGGGGAAGCATATAGAAGGCAGGCAATCAATCTCTCTCTCTTCTTTCTCTCTCTCCCCCACACACACCCCCTTTCTCTCTCCTTCTCTCTAAGCATATTTTAGGGTGAGGATTGGAAAAAAAGCCCTGGCAGGAGACCAATCAATGTTTCTCTCTCTCTTCCTTCCTCTCTCTCTATAAAAATCAATTAAATATATATATATGTACACATACACACACACACACACTCCTGGTCACACGATACCTAATTTCAACTGGAAAAGCCCTCTGGTGAGTTCTTTCTTTTTATCAGTATAAAGAAAGAAAGAAATGTTGTATGCCATATATTTCTAACATTATTGAGCGGACACACGGATTTTAATAACACAAGGGTAAGGCTGAAGAAAGGGGAAAGGCAAAGCCAAAAATAACAACACAGATCTGACAGAGAAAGACCATCCTTTAAGGCACTGAATTAAAAACATAGAAAACCTAAGGCCAAGTTTTCCAATATTTCAGTTAAAAGACCTCAACTCTGGCATTACAATGAAGAGATCCCAAAGAGGTAGTGATAGGAAGAGAATGTACACACAGTAATTTTCCTGAAGTCAGGAACAAGAACAGCAACGATTTATTTTTTTCTCTACTTGAGGGGTAGGCTTAAGATCAAAATGCAAAGGTCCTATATTAATACTGATATTATTAAAGCAGCTTTATTTTAAAGCAGGCAATCATCCTAGGCTCCAGGTTCCTTCTATTCAAGTACCAACTCTGAACCACTTGACTGTTATTTGATTCTCTGTAATCCAACCTTGCCAAAGGCCAGTTGAAATCCTCTAACCCAGAAAATCTAGCAACATTTTCCCAATTTCCGTGGCTGATCCCAAAAGAAATGCAAAATCATAAAATGGTATTGCCATTAATGCATTTAGTGTTTAACTTCTAACTACTTCAAGGGATCCTGACTTACCATTCTCTCTACAGCAATACAACTGGAGATCAAAACTTATTTCCCTTCTCTGGGATGTTAAAAGCTCTATTCCAAGTAAATAAAAACAAATACCTCTTTGCTACCCACCCCTTTCCCGGTATTTCCCTTCTCTCTCTCCCTATCCCAACCCAATCTCAAAGACCCCATCATAAAAAATGACTTGGGCTGTATGCAGTATTGTTTGTGTGTAGGAATGATAGCCTCCTATAGAAAGATAAGAACGGATAAACAGCTCCCCAAAGCAGTAGGGACTCTGTATACTCAAAAGGGAGTGTTGGATGGAAGCTCCCCACTGCCAATCAGAAGCTGCCTAGAGAATGAGGTGGCTGGACCTGGATATCTTCTGCAGTGTTCACCTCCACCCCATAACAGGGCAGAAAAAAAGAAATTAAAGTCAACATATACATTAAGAACATAAACAAAACACATCTAAAATGACACTTGGTGCATCTATAGTTAAGCTAAGGCTCTGAAATGGCACACAATAGCAGCTTATTGTTAGCACCTGGTTCACAAAAGGACAGAAAACACACACATCACAAATAGAAGCGGGCAATTTGACAGCAGACACCATAATTTTATCCTCACCCTTACCTAGCCCCCTCCACGGCATTTCTGCATCATCCCAACAGCCCGGAGTAACCCCTGGCCAGATGGGAGATGCTTGGTCCTCAAGGCCCTCGGGAAAACCAAGTTAAGGTGGCAAGTCATCAAGATTAATTTCAAAACTGACATTTTTGCCTAGAAGCCTCTAATAGCCAATTCTGTTTGTAAATTTGGTTTGGGGAGTTATGTTTTCAGTTTATTTTGAGCCCCAAATGATTTTTCACCTCTGGAAAATTGTGGCAAATTACTTCACTAACCAAGGTAAAGAGAACCATATTAACTGTCAAGTTTTATTCCAAATTAAAAATGTATCTTTTCCCTATGATCACTAATAAAGCCATATTCTAAACAGTCACTCGAATGTTTACTTGGCACATGTCCCTCTGGTTTCTTCTTGTCATTTACAACAAAGCACGCACGTCAGGAATGACGGGGGCCCAGTTCCTCTGTAATGTAACCTCTCCACCACCTTTCTCTCTTCATCTATGTTTACTCTCTTTTGAAAAATCTCCAAGCTGGCACACAAAGAATCCAAGCAATGAAACACTTTACAAAAGTGTCTCGGCAAAGGGAGCAGGCATCGTGGGCGAGAAGGGAGTAAGGCCGATGAAGCATCTCGCCAGAATCTTTGGTTCCCTGCTCTAGGCACTGACAGTTCTTACTCCCTTTGACGGCACACAATGAGCAGCTATAAGGCACAAAGCTCTCCATAAGGTCCTACCTTAAGGAAACAGGGCAATCTACTCATCCCAAATCCAATGGCAACAAAACAACACAACATCTTCAACATTCGTCTCTCTCCCCCTTCCTTTATTGCATAGAAGAGGATGTAAGTGCTACAGAAAGGCACATTTAGAAAACTCAACAAAATTTTATAAAGTTAAAGAATTGCTATTAAAGCTTGATATTACATAAATAAATGTTTGGAAGCAAGTTGTTCTAACAACAGACTATCATCCTGATTGCAATTTTGTAAAATCCAGCCAGAGCAAAGTTTGTATCTCAACACCAGGTTGTTTCATAACCCCAAGGAGCCTCTTTCTGGCCACTTTCCAGCATTGTGAAAGCACAGCCTGGAGGATTTTGGATTTATATACACTTTTTCACATAAACGACTTTTCTTTCCAGTTTTAAAAAATTATATTTCTGTTTCTTAAACTGGCAGCTGAGCTATGGACACACAATGGATGCAAATTTAGTCAGGCAATCACAGATTATTTTCAGTGAAATTAACTGAATAGGGGGATCGCTTGCTCCTTTGGAAGTGGAATATATTCCTTTCTCTTCCCCAAAGCTTGCTCCTAACCTGCCTCCCAATTAGTTTTCTTCTGTAACAGACATAGTACATCATATATGTAAGGCAAATTTTCAGGGCACTTGATGGTGCAACTATTAAAGGATCTGGGTGGGTCCATATTAGGAATGTTATCTTAGAAAAATTTTTTGACAGAAAGTAAAATCTTTTGATAAAAAGTCAGTTATTGCAACAACCAACCAACCTACAACATGCAGCATTCTTTTACCTCTACGCTTAAAGCAATGATGTAAGCTGGGAAATTTGGTCCTTATTTTTTTGGTCTCTCAGAAGAAGTGTTCCCTAAATTTGGCTTTGATTTTTCCAGTTGCATAGAGAGCCTTCCTGAGCCCAAGCATTATACCCTGCTACAGTTTTCTTCTTAAGGAAATTCTTAATTTTTAAACAAGGTTTGTCCTCTGTATTTTCTTTTAAAAAGAGAAAAAAAATGGACGTAGTACAAATTGTGGCCCTTGTACGTTAAGATGAAACAGTTTCTATGGAAACTCCATGATGAGGCTCTGTGGTCCCTCCTGCCCCAGTCACTTCCATCTCTCTCTCTTCCATCTCCCCCTCTGTGACCACTACAGCATCCACCTCAGCCACCTCTTCAACCATGGTGAAATCAACTCCATTGGGCTGTTGTCGGGCCATGGCCTCCAGCTTGAGGCGGTACTGTTCTGCCTCCTGCTCTTTCTTGAGGAGCTGGTGTCGGTATTCCTGGGCTCTTCGATTGGCCTCCTGGAGCTGCTGCTGTAGTAGCTCTCTTTCTGTGCCTTCCTGTCAAAGTAAACCACATCAGAAGTCCTGGTCACAGTGTCCAGAGTGCACACAAAAGGTACAAGTTCTGGCTTTTGATTCTTTCCCTTCTCTTCTCTCCACACTGCTAAAAACATTACCTTGTTCTCCTCCACACTGTCTGTCATCTCTTCTACCTTTGGCTTCTTAGTCAATGGCAACTTCTCGTCTTCTTCTTCCTCTTCTTCTTCAATTATAGTCTCCTCTGCAACCTGACCAGCAGGTACAGTTAGAACTACAAGCCAAAGGACACCAATTGAAGGTGATGAATACATTGTAAAACAAAGAGGTTTTGCTTGTTTCAAATTAGAAAATAAACTGAAATATATTCTCTGATATCTTATTTTTCATACACCTTTGGCTTTTAGAATCAGCAGGTAAATCATGGCCCTGCAGAGAGAAACAGAAAGGATTAGAGAGGCACTAAGAAGGTCTCTGGAAGGAAATGTAAAGATGGACAGGTTTGGAAGCCATGCAGTTAAGACCCAGGTCTGAGACTCTTATATAAAGATGTCAGGACTATGACCAATTAGTTTATGATTCTGTAGGAATAACTTGTCTAAAGAAGGCCTGATGTCTTCACAGAATTTTTTTTTTTTGTGGTTAATCCTCATCTGAGGATATTTTTTCCATTGATTTTTTTTAAAATATATTTTTATTGATTTCAGAGAGGAAAGGAGAGGGAGAGAGAGATGGAAACATCAATGATGAGAGAGTATCACTGATCAGCTGCCTCCGGCCCGCCCCCTATGGGGATCGAGCCCACAACCTGGGCATGTGTCCTTGACCGGAATTGAACCCGGGACCCTTCAGTCCACAGGCTGACGCTCTATATCCACTGAGCCAAACCAGCTAGGGCTTTTCCATTGATTTTTAGTGAGAATGGAAGGGAAGGGGAGAGACAGAAAGAAAAACATTAATATGAGAGAGACACATCAATTGGCTGCCTCCTGCACATGCCCCGACTGGGGCTGGAGATTGAGCCTGCAAATGAGGTACATGCCCTTGACCAGAATCAAACCTGGGACCCTTCAGTCCGCGGGCAGATGCTCCAATCCCTGAGCAACACTGACCAGGGCATCCCCATGACTATTTTCTAACTACCAATTTGTGTTTCTTAGTCCCTTCACCTCTTTCACCCAGTCCCCCAATCCTCCTGCTCCCCTCTGGCTGGGGAGCACATTTGCCCTTTCTACTGAAGACTAAAGACTGCAATTCCCTGGCTAGAGCTGAAACACTGGAAAGCAGACTGGCACAGGAGCAGAGAGGCAGACTGGCGCAGAGTGGAGCAGATCAGAGAAGCCTAGCTGAAGAGGGGGCTGGTGCTGGGGGCTGCCTCACACTGAGCTGCCCCAGAGCCGTGCTGTTTCACAGTTGTGCTGTATCACAACTGAGCTAGCCCACAGTTGTACTGTTTTCACAGCCGTGCAGTATCACCACTGAGTTGTTTGCACTGAATAAAGTTTCCTTCTTCACTGCATCCCAAGTTGGGGATTCCTGTTGGCGATGAATTGGTTCCAACAACCATCATTTGACAGCATAATATTATAATGGTATCTCAGTGCAGTATTTATTTGCATTTCTTATACAAATGAAGTAGGCTGAACATATTTCCATATTTTTAAGAACCCTCAGTATTTTCTTTCTGTGACCTACTGGTTCGTATTATTTGCTCTTTCTACCAGATTACGGTTTTTACTTACAAATTTTATTATATATTAGAGAAATTCGCTTTGCCAGCCTGGTTTCTGTTTCTTTTTTGGAGCTGCTTTGCCCCATCTAGCATCTGGCATTCTCCCATTCCTACTACTTGCCTTAATACTTCATTTTTAGAGGAGAATTGAGTGACTAAAATACCTTTCTTTTTTTAATCCTCACCTGAGGATATTTTTTCCATTGATTTCTAGAGAGTGGAAGAGAGAGGGAAAGAGAGAGAAATATCAATGTGAGAAAAACACATTGATTGGTTGCCTCCTGCATGAGCCCTGACCAGGGTCCAGGCAAGAGAGGAGCCTGCAACCAAGGTATGTGCCCTTGACTGGAATCAAACCACAGACTGACACTCTATCCACTGAGCCAAACTGACTGGGGCTAAAATATCTTTTCATAAACAACTGTCTAATGGGATAACTCACCTTGCTGTCCATCTTGCACAGTTACAATAAATGGCTGGCCAATGCCTCCAGTGGGAATTGCAGTTTGGATATTACCCAGAGGCACTCCGTCGGTCACTATGGTGATCACCCTCTGGCCTCCACTCCCCACCACTTGCTGGATTGATGAGTCAACAGAATTTCCTTCTATGATTTCCTCTGAATTAGCTAAAGACGACAAAAGTAAATTTAAGATTTTAGCTCTTTAGAAAACCTAAGTATAGCAATTTCAGCCTCCTTGAAATTGGTAATATTGAGTATAGGAAAACTAGAAAAAACACACATTAGATTTAGCAGTACACAAAAGCAAGCTCTGACAATGCTAAGTCAGAGGAGAAAAGAAATATAGAATGCATTAAATATATTCTCTAAAATGTCTTCATTGAGATGTTAATAGCATTCACTAAAGATGGGTTCTATGTACTAATATATTCTCAAAATTCTGGTTTAAATATGCTTGGAGTTTTTTGTTTGTTTGTGGGAAGTATGAGAGACCCCAACAAGCTAATGAGCACTAGGATTCTCCAATATGGGATAAGATATGCTAAGTTTCCCCAACATGTTTGATCTTAAAACTTTTTTTTCCCAGGAAGCATCTTGAAAGTCTAACTCTATAAAGCTTAGAAAAGTAACTATAAATTAGAGTACATCTATTTCTAGAAGGAAATAGAGACATTTAGTAGTGAATTAACAATATGTTAAGTAGTCAGAGCGTTTAAGAAGTCTGACAGACAAAAATGATAAGTGGCTTCTTCTATCTGACAGATCAATAATACTAATAGCAACTAACAATGACTACTCACTATGTACCAGAACCTTTCTAGGAAGTTTACATGTATTACGTTGAGTCAAGATTTTCAGTTGCTTAGTCAATGTCCTCAATAACTATTAGGGGAAACAGCTCCTGCCACGATGGCATTCTTCTATCTAAAGAATCACAAGCAGAACTTGGCAATAAGTGGGGTATGAACTCTCCATAGGAGACGTATTCATGTAATTCAGTGGAAATAGAGCATTCATACCACTTAGAAACAAGAGCAGTTAAATGTTAATAGATGAAAGACTGTGATAGATAATCTAATCTAACCATCATGCTAGAAACAAGGAAACTGAGACCTGAAAAGGGGATTTATTCAAGATCAAAGAAAACAAGCACAAATTTCATATATTGTTCTCCTTCTGCCATGGTGCTCACCCATACACATCTGAGGAGAGATCTTTTTGATTGCTGCCAGTTGGAAAAACAGGACTGGAAGAATGTTCTCACTACCCAAATGTCAATGGCAGAAAGAAATCAGAACAAACTGCTTTCATTTTGGATGGAGCACTCTGTGTAGAGGGTTCCAGAAAGACTCCCAAATGACTATTTAGCCATACCTATAACTGTCTGCCTCTACCTACATGAAGCTCTCAGCCTTTTCCCAATAGACCACTATCTCTAACTGACTTGAAACCTTTTTGTTTTAAATACCAGAAGGGCACTAGGTAGCATGCATTTGCCCAATTCCGTTGGAAATGCCACAACAGCATCTCCAGGGGAAGAAAACCCAAGCCAACCTGCAATCAGAGATGTGACAGTGACAGAGGTAGCTTCCCATACACATTGATGCTTTAATATAATACAAATTTTTCCAGCTTCCTTGCATTATTATAGTGCCACTGGATTTTAAGAGCTTGTTTATAACTAAAGATGTTAACAATTTCTCATGCATTGCAAATGATATACCATGTTTTTTGTTACTATTTTACTCTGCTGTTTTACTTTTTGGTTGTATCAAACTTGTGCATTAAATATAATCATATTCTTTTTAAAAAAAAATAATACAAGATACCTACGCTGCTATTTTGAATCATTCTATGATAGCATCAGTCACAATATAACAGAGTATTTCCAGAAAGTCTGCTTATATAAGACTAAGATATTTCAATGTGAAACAACTGGAGTCAGAGAAAACAAACTTCAAACTGCAAAAAAATAAATTAAAAAAATCATCCAAGGAATAACTTAGTCATTCTCTGATAATATCCAGCTGTCTGATTATAGCACTTTGTGATTTTTCTTTCTGATGCTCCATGACTACATCCTTTCTCCTAGTTGTCTCTAACCATAAGTCTTTAATATTTCACGCAAAAGAAATCTGCTGGAGATTTAAGAACAAAAGAAAAAATGGTGATTCAACCAGCAGCTATCCCTTACCTACCTGTGGCTCTGTGTGAGTTGGAGAGGGGAGCTGTTGCCTCAGCAAGAGCTGCAAGGGTGGCCAGCACTGAGGTGGTAGAATTTGAGAAGTGTACTGTTGAGGAGGCATGGGGGTCACCTATTTCAGTAAAAAAGGCAAATGAGGTCCAGCAAAGAGAATAAAATTGAGATGAACTAAAATGATTGAGATGCCTTATTAAATCAAAACCTCAGCTTTTCGCTTGGTCTGTGTGGCTCAGTGGTTCAGTGTTGATCCGTGAACCAGGAGATCATGGTTTGATTCTGGGTCAGGGCACATGCCTGGGTTGCGGGCTTGATTCCCAGTAGGGGCTGTGCAGGAGGCAGCCAACTGATGATGTTTTTCTCTCACTGATGTTTCTATCTCTCTATCCCTCTCCCTTCTTCTCTCTCTAAAAATCAATAAAAACATAATTAAAAAAAGCAGCAGCATTAAAGCCCTATCCAGTTTGGCTCAGTGGATAGGGCATTGAAATACAGACTGAAGGGCTCCAGGTTCGATTCCAGTCAAAGGCACATACCTCCGTTGTAGGCTGAATCCCTGGCCCTGGTCGGGACTTGTGTGGGAGGCAGCCAATCAATGTGTCTCTCTCACATGTATATTTCTCTGTGCCTCTCCCCCTCCCTTCCACTCTCTCTAAAAATCATTGGAAAAATATCCTTGGGTGAGGAGTAACAAAAACAAACAAACAAAACAGAAGCATTAAAAAAAAAAAAAACACCAGTTATTTGTAAAATATTTAAAAATACTTGAAACTCCTATATAACACTCTTTATAATAAATCTTTCCACAGAGTAAAGACTCTTCTTCCAATATGATTACTCTAGGTAATCTAACATATTTATAAATTTTAGAAGAATTTCCTTTAAAAGGTAGATTACTTATATACTTCTCATAGCTGCGAACTATCTTAAAGCTTTTGGATGAAGACTGTGGGAGTGGAGCTAAAGGTAGAGATAGTGATGATATCTCTAAAATACTCAGGGAACCAAATGGTCTGAGCAGAACACAGTGCTTGACCTCCAGAAAGGAGCCTGTCTATTTAATTACTTCTTGCAGAGCAAGATCCAGCCTTTGCCCTATTTTTTCTGCTTGGTTCATGCTTTTCTCATCACTCAGCCTATCATAACAAATGCTGGCGTAAGAACTAACAAATGGTCTGGCTGGTGAGGCTTGGTGATTGAATGTCAATTGATGAACTCGGGGGGCGTGCAGGAGACAGCTGATGATGATTCTCTCTCATCATTGATGTTTCTCTCTATCCCCCTCTCTGATATATATACATAAGTGATCAAAACAAAAAACTAACAAATGAGCTCTAGCAGGTTTGGCTCAGTGGATAGAGCGTCAGCCTGCGGACTGAAGGGTCCGGGGTTCGATTCTGATCAAGGGCATGCCTGGGTTGCACTCCAACCCCAGTAGGGGGTGTGCAGGAGGCAGCCAATCAGTGGTTCTCTCTCATCATTGATGTTTCTCTCTCTCCCTCCCCCTTCCTCTCTGAAATCAATTAAAAATATGCATATGTACATATATAAAAAAATAACTAACAAATGAAAAAAATAAGGTACAAGTGATTTTTAAATATATGTACATTCATGGAAGTTGGACTATATGTGATAGTAAGTCACTAGCAATCAAAAAACAAGGCCACAATTAAAACACACACACGTGTGGATGCAAATACACACACACACACACACACACACACACACACACTGGCCACCCAACTACAGAATAGCTGTATAGAATTGTTTCATGAGAAAAGCATTATATATGATTATTCCAACCTTAGGGTACACTCTCTCCTTAAGAAAAAAAGTCCTCACCCAAGGCTATGTGGTTTTTATTGTTTTTTGTTTTGTTTTTTTTAGGATATGTGTTTTTTATTGATCTTTAGGGAGAGAGAGAGAAACATGGATGTGAGAGAGAAACATCAGTAGTCTGCCTCCTGTACCGGTGATAGAACCACAACCTAGGTATGTATCCTGACCGGGAATCAAACCTGTAACCTTTTGGTGTGTGGGAAGACGCTCCAACTAACTGAGCCACCAGGCCAGGGTGGTAGTCTACCTTTAATTCAATAAAAATGAATACTTGTGAAAAATCAGATTTAGTGTTCTGACACACAGTTGAAATTGAAAAGAAATAATGCAAATGACCTCTTTAGACTTATCTCAGGCAGTTCTAGGAAAATAGTTTATTGTTTAATAATGTTAATTGTTTCCTTTTCCTCAATATAAGACACAACGTCAAATAAAGTAAAATGTGCACGGATACTGTTGTTTTTGGAAGAGAAATGGCATCATCAGTGCCAATTCTTGTTACCTATTCAAAATGTGACATATAAATAAACTCTTCAGACCAGGATTTAGGGGAGTGTGCTATGGTAGGCTAGACAATCTCAGTAAGTTAGTGAAAACTAGATGCAAAAAAATTAAGTAATCTGCCCAAGGTCATGCAGCTAGTAAATATCAGAGCCCTGATTAAAATCTAATTCATTAGATTCTGAGCTAGTACTCTTTATGAACCAATTTAAAGCTATTTATATTTGACTTTGGAGTACATCTTATCATTCTACAGAAACAGGAAATTCCTCTTCATAACTCTGTTTTGCCATGATTAATGTTTAAATTAGTCTGCCCTCCTAAATCACTGCACGCAGGATGACTCATAACTTTAAAATTGAAAGCAAACTTTGTAATCTGGATTTTTAAAAAATATATTTTTATGGAGTTCAGAGAGGAAGGAAGAGGGAGAGAGAGATAGAAACATCAATGATGAGAGAGAATCATTGACTGGCTGCCTCCTGCACACCCCCACTGGGGATCTAGCCTGCAACCTGGGCATGTGCCCTGACCAGGAATTGAACAGTGATCTCCAGTTGGGCTGTCATCTGGATTTTGGTATCAAAAACATCTATCAGTATAATATTCCTAGGACTCTATCAGTTAATTCTTAAAAATATTACTGGATGAAAAAGAACATATTACTTGTTGATGGGAAATAAGAAGTCCACCTACCGTTCAGGTAAAGAAAATCCTTAAACCCAGGTGAATAACACAACCTGAATATGTCTAATAACTTTTATCTGTACTGATAAAGCATCAAGTAGGCCAGTCCCCTAAAGGGGAGAGCTAGCTAGAACTGCTTCATGGTTAAGATGACATCAGAGAGATCAGCTTTATTATGTGATAGTTTAGCAATTTCGATTTGCAATTGTCACCGTATGGAAGAGAGAAAGAAGAGCAGTTTGTCAAAAGCAACACAATAAACCTGATACAAGCCTATGGGAGTCAAGTCTATGAATCTCTATCCGAGTGTCTTCAATTTTGCTTATCATTCCAAATCAGGGTCTGGAGAATTTCAGTAGTTAAAGATCAACGCTAGCTCTTTACACATGTTTGTGAACATGTAACATTATTAGCTTCTGAAGACTTTTGGATTATAAAAGCACTTGTTCTAATCAGTGTGGCCTTAACCACTACAAATCCAAAAGGCTATGAATGTTCTGATTACATGTATATGTATATTTAAACTAAATATTTTTAATCATTTAGTAGCTGAAAGCAAGGTGATATTAAATAAGTTGATGAGCTATAAAATGAAGGTCACTACTGCCCCCTTGTGGGAAGGACACAGTCAATCTTTACTGAGAAGTTAATTTCCACTAGCTCCTGGTATTACTGAAGCCCTGCTATAAAATGGATACTGGCAGGCCCGCGTGGCTCAATGGTTGAGCCACGACCTATGAACTAGGAGGTCATGGTTTGATTCTCCATCAAGCCATGTGCCCTGGTTTCAGGCTCGATCCCCAGTGTAGGACATGCAGGAGGCAATCAATGATTCTCTCTCATCATTGATGTTTCTCTCTCCCTCTCCCTTCCTCTCTTAAATCAATAATTAAAAAAAAAAATTAAAAAATAAAATAGCTCTAGCCAGTTTGGCTCAGTGGATAGTGTCAACCTGTGGACTGAAGGGTCCCAGGTTCAATTCCAGTCAAGGGCACATGCCCAGGTTGCGGGCTCGATCCCCAGTGGGGAGTGTGCAGGAGGCAGCCAATCAATAACTCTCTCTCATCACTGATGTTTCCCTCTCTCCCTCTTCCTTCTTCTCTGAAATTAATAAAAATATATTTTAAAATTAAAGTAAAATAAAAAGTGGATCCTGAAATACAAAATATCAGTCTCACAACCTCATAAAGTGAATATTATTATATCTCAATGTTATATGTAAAGAAGGCTTAGATAAGTAGTTTTCTTACAGTGAAGCATCTATTAATTAATAAATCAATATCTGAATGCAGATCTGAATGCACAATTCTATATTTATTGTATATATGCTCTACTTTACCATCCTGCCTCTCAGTAATAACACTTCATTCAACATCTCTCTTTGATATTAAACTTAAGTAGGAATACAGTTGCTTATTTTTAAATGAAAGTCAGAAACGGAAAAAAGACAAGAGTCAGCTGGAAAACTTATTTAAATGAGGACACAAGTGCCTTTGTTGTCAAACAAATATTTGTGAAGAGATACTGAAAACAAGGCCAGTTTTCTTCCTTTTTAGATAGATGTTTTTGTTAAAAATATACAGATTTCAAAAGGTCAACACCAAATGTTTTGTTATTTTGTTGTTATATATGTTCTCAAGAACAAATCAAGACTCTCATACTTTATTCAAATAATCACATGTACCTCTTTTATATTAGCATTCCAACAACCACTTATGTTTCTTCTGCTTTATTTGTTCATGTTTTGGATTATGAATATTTTAACTATCTTCCTTAGTAGTACTATAATGAAGTACCCCTATTATTTTCATTTTGGGGGTTAGGTATAACCCTTCAACAGATTAATGTGTAGAATATTTTACTTTTAACACAATAAGCACTCAGGTATAACCCCTATGTATGACCTCCCCTTCCCCCAGAAAGAATACATACATTAGCTTTAAAACTGATTATAAATCCTTTATTTTGGAAAGATTTTAATAAAGGTGTGGGTATCAGAGAGGCTATTCATCTCATAGGAAAACCTGGGGTTCTGTTCATTTTAAGTCTAAAATAAATGCCATGTTATCAGAATATTACCTGAGGTTGTCTTGGTGTTGGTTGAAGAAACAAGGCTAGCGAGGTTGACAACTTCTCCTGCCGTGAAGATAAACGGGGCAGCCACAGTCACAGGGTTGGCTCTTTCGGGATTAGCATTCACCTGATTCTGCATTGCTTCCTATGAAACAAGGTGGGTATTTTAAAGTCAGAACACTTATTAACCTTAGTTACACAGTTGCTGAAGGGCCAATCCTCACCCCCAATGCTCTATCAAGCAGAACTAGTTCTAGCACACAATGTCCCAGGGAGCTCAGAATTCTCATTAAGACCACTGTTTATTTCTTGTTTTCTGACAAGGAAAACAGAAATGTTAGGTTGCTTTCTCAAGCTTATATCTACTTTAGAAAACAAGGTGTATTATGTGTAAAACCTTCTACACAATTCACTTAACCTCTCTGGATCTTGTATTTTTATTTGAAAATAAGGGGGGGTGGCCTAAAAAGTAATTTCCAGCACTAATATTCTATGATCAATTATCTACAAGTCAATGTGCTAGCAGGAGATCCCTACAGAGAATCTATGGAGAAGAATATTCTCCAGAGTTTTGTCCAACAACTTGTTCCATTCTGCCCTGGAGAACTCCTCAGAGAATATATAACAAGCAAATAAATGAGTGCCAGATTTTAAAGTCTAGTTTCATATGCTGCACTTTTGTTTCCAGGAATGTCTGCACAATTTCAGTGAAAAGAAACTTATCTTTATTTTATTCTTTTTTTACTTTCAGAAGCAGTTTTGTGTGTTTTTTTACAAACAAACATGTTCACTACTTAAAAAGTCCCAATTATGAAAGGTCTCTAAATAAGGAATTGAAAGTTGAAGAGCATAAGCAGTTTACAGGGAACCATCTGTAAGAAACAACAAACAAGCCACTGAAAATACAGCAGAAATGTCTATGTTTTCATATATAATTATCCCCTTGACTAAGAGCTTCAGCTTAAAGCAGATTATCAATTCTCTGGTCACTGTTAAATTCCTTCTTGAATATGCCCCTTCTTCCATCCTCCACTATCATTCCTGAACTCAAGCCCTCTTGGCTCTTGCCTGGCCAAACGAAAGTCACTACATGGTTCTTTAGCATTAAATCTTCTCGCCAATCTCGCCACACTCCAAATAATTATCTTTGTTTTTAAGATGGCTGGTGTAGTTCAGTTGCTTGGAGTATGATCTTGTGCACCAGAGGTAATGGGTTCGATTCCTGGTCAGGGCACATATATAGGTTGTGGTTTGATCCCCAGTCAGAGTGCATATGGGAGGCAACTGGTCGATATTTCTCTTTCTCTCTCCCACCCCGCTCACTTAAAAAAAAAAATCTAATATCAATCCTATATTCTAAAAATTCTATTGGATCCCCATTACCAAAATAGTCCAAACTCCTTTGTATGCCCTATAATACCCCTTACATTGAGAACCCACCTTCCAAACTCTCAAGCTTTAGCTCCCAAACTCCACTTCCCTTGACCAGTCTGTAGTCACAGAACTACTTACTCTTTCCTGAATATTCCATGTCATTTCACACCTTTATGTCTTTAATTTGCTCTTTTTCTAGCCTAGAATATCATTTTCTCACTTCTCTGCCCACTTGTCCCTCAAAACTCAGTTCAGATTCTACATCCACTTTAATTCTTGCTTTAAGCATCATTAACACTCCCTATTCTGTGCTCCTGTAATAGCTGGTAAAGCCCTAGCCGGTTTGGCTCAGTGGATAGAGCGTCGGCCGGCCTGCAGACTAAAGGGTCCCAGGTTCAATTCCGGTCAAGGGCACAAGCCTGGGTTGTGGGCTCGGTCCAACGTGCAGGAGGCAGCCAATCAATGGTTCCCTCTCATCATTGATGTTTCTATCTCTCTCTTCCTCTCTGAAATCAATAAAAATATATTTAAAAAAGTAGCTGGTAGATATCTGTTTATCACCAGAGTACTGTAATGCTTTATTTCTTGTCTGACCTTCATCATGCTAAACACTCCAAGGACAGAGCCATGTCCTCTTCATCTTTATATTCCTAATCCTGTTATTTCCTGATATACAAGTGCTGGTTTAAGAAATTAATGGGTAGAACCATCACAGGTAACTTTTTTTTTTACCCTCATCCAAGGACATGCTTAGAGAGAGGAAAGGAGAGAGGGAGAGGGAGAGGGAGAGAGAGAAAATCATCAATGTAAGGGAGGAACATTGATCAGTTGCCTTCCGTACATGACCTGACTGGGGATTGAACCCGCAACCCAGGCATGTGTCCTTGACTGGGAATCAAACTGGCAACTTTTTGGTGCGTGGGCAACGCTCAGCCAACTGAGCCACTCTGGCCGGGCAGCTAACTTTTCATTCTGAGATGGCTTCCTTTAATTCTGAGATGACCTGATGGGCTTCAGAGCTATATACTGTCTCATATACGTTGATGTACATTTAGAAAACATAGAGAGACTTTTAATATAGTCCCAAGTCAAGTTTAATAAGAAAGAAAAATTTTCATGGAGAAAAACAATCATTCTAAAGCCAAGTAAATCTAGTTTTTGTATTGGCCGCCAACACTGTTATTCAATCTCCATAACTAATTCAATGCTTTATAGAATATATGTATTTAAATATACTAATGACACTGAATCACAAGACTAAAACACATTAGAAGTACTTCTTTGATACAATAGGGAAAATTCTGTTTTGATTCAGCTCCCATAATAAATCCTTAACTTCATTCAAGTATACTCTGGGGATTAAAAACAAAATAGACCTGGAGGATGACCAGGATCTCAGCATTGTTCTTCTCCAGGGCTATGTCAAAGGCAGATTTATCAAACTTGCTGAAAGCATGGACATCAGCTCCATATTTGATAAGCAGCTCTACAACATCTCGATGGTGGTATTCTGTGGCCCAATGCAAAGCTGTCATCTTCAGCATATCCTTGGCATTCACATCTGCACCATTCTGTCATAGAAGAGTAATGTTTCACTGGTTACAACAGCACAGGTGCAAGATCCCATCACCAACACAGAGACTTTCCATAGGTTACACATATTCAAATTTAGGTCACCTTTAAGAAATATCAAAAGGAAAAACATTTCTCGAATTATCCTGATGCTGACAGACATACTGCCTTCCATGAGTGGGTCTTCTAAGGACATCACTGGGAAATTACAATAGAAAGGAAAGGAAAAGGAAAAGAACAGATTTTTGCTGCATTTATTAACAGAGCCGAGTGTCTGAAAAAAACAGGCATAAGTGCAGAGAACACCTGCAGAAAGGGAATGAAGAAAAGCCAACAAAGTCTGTTTCTAAAGATTAGAGTATAAAATTCTCACAGTCATTGTTACTCTTGAAAGAGAGACAATTCAATGCTATAAACTGTCCTCACCTTGATCTTTCCCAGCCTCGTTCCCTGCCACTAGTTTAAGAAAGGAAGGTAGGTGTCCTCTTTACCATACAGACCCGCCACTATTCTTGCTTTACCCTAACGAGCAGTTCCACGATGTGTGCATGTCCATCAGCTGCAGCCATGTGCAAGGGGGTCCTGTCCACTTTGGTTCGGGCATCCCTGCTAACGCCTGCTCGAAGGAGCACTTCTGCTGTGGAATAATGACCATACTGGGCTGCAAGGTGGAGGGGTGACGTTCCAAGCTGTGGGAAAATAATACTCATTGAATATCAGCTGCATGCAGACTCCTAAATCATTACTGGAGAGACACAAATGAACAAGAGGTGAGTTTTATGGTTCCTGCCCATGGAAAGAGAGTATCTGGTGGGGCAGACAGGACTGAATAAATGAATTAAAAAGTTAATATACTAATAGAGGAATAAACATACTATCAATTAAATAAGCGCTAAATAGAATGGATTTAAGTCAGATGGATTTACCATGTAAGATTCCCTAAAGGACATGATTTTAAACAGGGCTTAGAAGATAAAATAAATGGACAGACAAGAGGATTCTGAGTCAGGGGTAAAGGTTCAAAACAATTTCTAGGCAAAGGGCAGAGACCAGAAAGTTGCATGTAGAACTTGGAGTGCTAATTTAATTGCTTGTAACAGAAGTTTGTTACCACAGTAAAGCAAGGCAAAAAGACTGATGAGATTAAGAGGCAATAAACATTTAGCAGCTAAGCCCGGCCAGCGAGGCTCAGCAGTTGAGCGTCGATCTATTAACTAGGTGGTCATGGTTTGATTCCTGGTCAGGGCACATTCCTGGGTTTTGAGCTCAATTCCCAGTGTTGGGCATGCAGGAGGCAGCAAATCGATGATTCGCTCATTGATGTTTCTTTCTATTTTTTTTATATGTTTTTATTGATTTCAGAGAGGAAGGGAAAGGGAGAGAGAGCTAGAAACATCAATGATGAGAGAGAATCATTGACCGGCTGCTGCCTGCACACCCCCTACTGGGGATCGAGCCTGCAACCTTGGCATGTGCCCTTGACTGGAATCAAACCTGGACCCTTCAGTCCGCAGGCCTATGCTCTATCCATTAAGCCAAACCAGCTAGGGCTCATCACTGATGTTTCTCTCTCTCCCTCTCCCTTCCTCTCTGAAGTCAATAAAATATATTTTTTAAAAATTTAGCAATCAAGCCCGGCTGGGCGTGGCTCAGTGGTTGAGCATCAACCTATGAACCAAGAAGTCACTGGTTTGATTCCCGGGCAGGGCACATGCCTGGGTTTAGGGCTCGATCCCCAGTGGGAGGCTTGCAGGAGGCAGCCGATCAACGATTTTCTCTCATCATGGATGTTTCCATCTCTCTCTTCCCCTTCCTTCCTCTCTGAAATCAATAAAATACATATTTTAAATGTTTTAGCGCCAAAACCGATTTGGCTCAGTGGATAGAGCGTCAGCCTGCGGACTGAAGGGTCCCGGGTTCGATTCCGGTCAAGGGCGTGTACCTGGGTTGTGGGCACATCCCCAGTGGGAGATGTGCAGGAGGCAGCTGATCGATGTTTCTAACTCTCTCTCTCTCTCTGTTCCTCTCTGTAAAAAATCAATAAAATATATTAAAAAAAAAAAGTTTTAGCAATAAACAAGTCTATATCATCTCAAAGGAAATCTTGTAAGAGTTACCAGCATCCACTTTGGCCAGAAACCTATTCCTGTCTTTGCTTTATGCTGGTTTATTTAAAGCCTACTTCACTCATACTTTGCTTTTCATATATTCAGCTTCTGCCTGATTGGATTTAATTCACATTGCTCTTTTCAGGCCTATTTATAAAAATGCTAATCTCATGGGTTTCCTTTCTTCCTTTCAGTGAAGTGCTAAGAACCTGCTGTCCTCAGTCCTGGGCAGTGTGGCTCAGTTGGTTAGAGCATCTTCCTGTGTACTGCAGGGTCGTGGGCTCAGGGCACCTGAGGAGGGCAACCAATCAATGTTTCTCTCTCACATCGCTGACACTCCTCTCTCTCTCATCAATAAAGAAACAATACTAGGGTGAGGATTAAGAAAAAAAAAGAAAAGAAAAGAAACTGCTGGCCTCTCAACTTACGAATTAACCACTCCAGAAAAGAGGACACTCACTCATTGTATTGTTAAAATTAGGCAATGTTTACAAAATCTATGGATGCTAAGGAAGCCCATGTTATAATGTGGACCCGGATCTTCTAAACTTCTGCTCTCCAAGCTGGCTGTCTAGGATCATAAAATTACATCTTCCTTTTTTATTTATTTATTTGATTTTAGAGAGAAAGGGGGAGGGGGAGAGAAATGGAAACATCAATGACGAGAGAGAATCACTGATCAGCAGTCTCCTGCACCGTTCTCCCCACCCCCCGTCCCCGGCTGCGAGGATCGAGCCTGCAACCCAGGCACATGCTCTGAAAAGGAATCGAACTGTGACCTCCTGGCTCATAGGTTGACGCTCAACCATCGAACCACACTGACTGGGACTGTGGACTGGGCTAGACTATTTCTTATTAATCAGGACATTTTAGAGAAAAGGAAATAAACAGTTTATTAGTTTAGAAAGGTACTTTTATTATACTGATTTTGTTTAATTTCTAGCTAATTACAGAAGCCTATAACCCAAGTACACTACAGGGAGAATTAAACTTTTGGAAAATACTCTGAAAAGCATTATAGAAAACCACAAGTATATAATACCTTTACAATTACCATCTATACATCCATAGGAGACACTTTCAATTTGGAAAACTAAAAGAAAATGAAAACCACATATTTAGCCCTGACCGGTTTGGCTCAGTGGATAGGGCGTCGGCCTGTGGACTGAAGGGTCCCGGGTTCGATTCCGGTCAAGGGCATGTGTCTTGGTTGCGGGCACATCCCCAGTGGAGGGTGTGTAGGAGGCAGCTGATCGATGTTTCTTTCTCATTGATGTTTCTAACTCTTTATCCCTCTCCCTTCCTCCCTGTAAAATATCAATAAAATATATTAGAAAAAAAAAGAAAACCACATATTTAGATGAGAGAAAGAAAATAAAACTTTGTGAGGAGAATGAGGCAGAAAGTGAATTTAAAAAAAAAAAAATCAATAAAGTCTTTTTAGCCTTTAAGAAAAAGATTGGTGTCCTGGCCGGGTAGCTCAGTTGGTTAGAGCATCATTCTGATATGCCAAGGTTTCTGGTTCTATCCCATCAGGGGACATACAAGAATCAACCAATGGCCCTAACTCAGCCGTGGGCAAACTACGGCCCGCGGGCCGGATCCGGCACGTTTGAAATGAATAAAACTAAAAAAAAAAGACCGTACCCTTTTATGTAATGATGTTTACTTTGAATTTATATTAGTTCACACAAACACTCCATCCATGCTTTTGTTCCGGCCCTCCGGTCTAGTTTAAGAACCCATTGTGGCCAGAACCAGTTTGGCTCAGTGGACAGAGCGTCGGCCTGCGGACTGAAGGGTCCCAGGTTCGATTCCGGTCAAGGGCATGTACCTGGGTTGCAGGCACATCCCCAGTGGGAGGTGTGCAGGAGGCAGCTGATCGATGTTTCTCTCTCATCGATGTTTCTAACTATCTCTCTCCCTTCCTCTCTGTAAAAAATCAATAAAATATATTAAAAAAAAAAAAAAAGAACCCATTGTGGCCCTCGAGTCAAAAAGTTTGCCCACCCCTGCCCTAACTGGTTTGGCTCAGTGGATAGAGCATTGACCTGCGGACTGAAGGGTCCCAGGTTCGATTCCCGTCAAGGGCATGTACCTTGGTTGCAGGCACATCCCCAGTAGGGGGTGTGCAGGAGGCAGCTGATCAATGTTTCTCTCTCTCATCCATGTTTCTAACTCTCTATCCCTCTCCCCTCCTCTCTGTAAAAAAATCAATAAAATATATATATTTTTAAAAAGAGCCGAAACCGGTTTGGCTCAGTGGATGGAGCATTGGCCTGCGGACTGAAGGGTCCCAGGTTCGATTCCGGTCAAGGGCATGTACCTGGGTTGCAGGCACATCCCCAATAGGGGGTGTGCCGGAGGCAGCTGATCGATGTTTCTCACTCATCGATGTTTCTAACTCTCTATCTCTACCCCTTACTCTCTGTAAAAAATCAATAAAATATATATTTAAAAAAATAAATAAATAAAAAATAAAAATAAAAAGAAATCAACCAGCCGAAGCCGGTTTGGCTCAGTGGATGGAGCGTCGGCCTGCGGACTGAAGGGTCCCAGGTTCGATTCCGGTCAAGGGCATGTACCTGTGTTGCGGGCATTCCCCAGTAGGAGATGTGCAGGAGGCAGCTGATCGATGTTTCTCTCTTATCGATGTTTCTAACTCTCTATCTCTCTCCCTTCCTCTCTGTAAAAAATCAATAAAATATATAAAAAAATAAAAAATAAAAAAAAAATAAAAAAAGAAATCCACCAATGAATGTGTAAATAAGTGGAAAAACAAAGATGTTTCCCCATCCCCCTCTCAAATCAATAAATAAAAAATTTTTTAAAAAAAGGAAGAAAAGGAAAACGATTGGTAACAGCACACATTGGGACTAATCAAGAGAACTTACCCAGTCGGTGGTGAACGGGGCACCATTTGCCATCAATGTCCTCACTTCATCATCTTGGCCTTTTCTTGCTGCTTCTAGCAATCTCTTCCCCAAGTCCACCAAAGACATCTTTATGCATAGGAACAGAAGTTTTCAGGAAGCTGTAAATCAAACATAAGGAGAGCTGTCTGTAAAATGGTTTTAGAAGACTTCTTGTACTTTAATATACTTTTCAAGGTGACTTTCTGGTAGGGCGTTTCCTCATCATCTAACACAAACAATTAGATATTTGGAAAAATTTCAGATCCCAAACAACATTTCCCTCACTTTCAATCTCCAGAACAATAATAATGATGATGATGATGATGATGATGATAATAAATGCAACACATCACATTATGACCTTTCTAGTTTAAGGGATCAATAAAACAGCATTTCATCCTTTTGAAATGACCATGGGTAGAAATATGTCACAGGAAAGAATGACAAATAGACAAGCCAAGGGATATGGCAGACACTTTTTTAAAAATGAACAGAGTGAACCTCCCACTTCAAAGCAAACAAACGACAGTATTTATTGCCAATTATCAATTATAATTTCAGCTTTCAAGCAAAAATTAGAATTTGGGGAAATATACCTCAACCATGAGTTGAAGTTTACTACGAACTTTTTGATGAAATTCATGGTGACACTAATGAGTGTGAATTTTTCAACATTGGGTAATAAAATGCATCAACACTTGGATAATCTGCATAATCTGGTGAACCAATATTTTTCAAATGACCAATGCATGTTATAAAATCATACAGGGGTAGGAAGAGAGGGAAAAAGATGGCTGAGGAGTAAGTGGAAATAACATTCACTTCCTCCCAGGCCCAAATTGGAATTACAACAAAATTATAGAACAATCAACCTGAATAACCAATTGAAGACTAGCTGAACAGAAGTCTTACAACCAAGGATTTATAGAAGCCACATCAAGACTGGACCATGTGACAGAAGGGCCACAGGACCAGAGAAGCCCAGTTCTCCGAGCTGATTGTTTAAAAGAGCTACTCAGAAGTGTGGCACCTACATTGGACTTTGCACGATTAAATATAAACCTTGCCCTGGCTGGTGCTGCCAAATGGTTTGAGCAACGGCCTGCACACTGGAGGGTTGCCAGTTCCAATTCCAGTCACGGGCATGTACCTGGGTTGCAGGTCTGATCCCCTCACCTGGCTGGGGCGCGTGTGAGGCAACCAATTGATGTAACATTTCTCTCTCCTTGCTCTCTCTCCCTCCCTACCCAATCCTTTCCACTCTCTCTTTAAAAAAAAAAATCCTCACTGCTCTGATGAGAATGTTTTTCTTATTCCCCCACCCCCAAATATATTTTTATTGATTTCAGAGAGGAAGGGAGAGGGAGGGAGAGACAGAATCATGGATCGGCTGCCTCCTGCACGGCCCCTACTGGGGATCTAGCCCCCAACCTGGGCATGTGCCCTTGACCGGAATGTAACTGAGACCCTTCAGTCTGCAAGCCAGCGCTCTATCCACTGAGCCAAACCACCTAGGGCTAAAATGTATTTTTAAAAGAACAGCATTTTGGGGGACTAAGTGCCATTCTCCCAGTACCCACCAGATAAAAGATGTAATCTAAGAGCCCTGTCCTGTGTGGTTCAGTTGGCTGGGCGTCGTCCAGTGTCCTGGGAGGTTGCCAGCTCAAGGGCACATGCCCGGGTTGTGGGCTCCATCCCTGTGGGGGTTGTGCAGGAGGCAGCCAGCTGATTGATGTCACGCTCTCACATCAACGTCATCGATGTTTCTCTCTCACTCTCCCTTCCTCTTTCTCTAAAAATCACTGTTAAAAAAAAAGAAAGAAAAAAGATGTAAGGGAAAACATTCTCCCTTTACTGTATGTATCTCCACTTTCCCTTCATATAAAGTGAAGAAACAAAATTTGATCTAACTTGACTCTCAGGACTTTGAAGATGAATACAACACCCACATCCCCTCCCAAACACACACACACACACACACACACACACACACACACACACACGAGCTTTCAATAACCGTGTTTTACTAATGAAGTGCTTGAGCTCTTGACAACAAAGTACTCTATTATTAGCCAGTAATTAGAGACTAATTACGTTGGTTGATAGAAGAAATCGGGTGGGGATGACCTTTGTTGGCGTAAGTACAGCTCTGAGCACACAGACAGCTAACTGCAGGGAGAACCGGCACGGAGGAAACCATGGTCTGACCTTCTTGATTTTCCCTTTTTCTATCCCACGGGTCCCCACTGAGCCGCCAGCTGTACAAACGACTGTGCAACGGGAGGCTGAGGCTCAGCTGGTCACAGCCTCCTCCCCTGGCACCCAGGCTGCAGGCTGGTCCCCAGGGCACATACAAGCCGCAAGCGGTGAACGCATAAGGAAGTGGGACGACAAAATGTTTCTCTCCCTTCCTTCCTTTCTCTCTCTTTTTTTAAAAAATATATTTTATTGATTTTTTGCAGAGAGGACGGGAGAGGGATAGAGAGTTAGAAATATCGATGAGAGAGAAACATCGATCAGCTGCCTCTGCACAGCCCCCACTGGGGATGTGCCCGCAACCAAGGTACATGCCCTTGACCGGAATCGAACTTGGGACCCTTCAGTCCGCAGACTGACGCTCTGTCCACTGAGCCAAACCCGGCAGGGCCCTTTCTCTCTCTCTTAAAAAAACAAACAAACAAAAAACCACAAAACTGGAGGCGGGGCCCTTAGCCCCCTGTTCGGATTAGCGTGCTCACTGATAACCTTCAGGCTCCTGCTGGGGCCGGGCATGAGTCCCCGTTTTCTCCTAATGGTCTGTCTTTCGGGAAGAGCCCGGGAGCCCAGGTCTCCGCGGAGGCAGCAGCCCGCCCGGGCTCCGCGCTGCCCCCTAGTGGTCACCTCGACGGCCTTGGCTTCCCTTGGTCCAGTTCCCCAGCCCCGGGTCTTGCACCCACCCCCTCCTTCACCTCCTCCCAGTCCCCTCCCCTTCCTCCCGGCAGCATCCCCTTCCTCTGCGTCCCCCGGCCCCAGGTTCCCCCGCTCCGACGAAGCGGCGCCGCTCTGTCCGCGCCCGGAAGTTCGGCGCTGTGCCGGGAAGCGGTGCAGCTTTCCACGGCCCCCTCCCGCGGGCCCCCCCACACCCCCGGTCCACGCATCTTCTCTTCCCCCTCACCTCCTCGTCCGGGACGCCGCCGGTGGCGCTCTTGCCGGACCCGCCAGTTTGGTGCCGTCTCCTCCTCTCGTTTAGACTCCCTGTCAGTGACGGTTACTTTTTGGCCTTTGCATATTTTGGGGGCCTTTAACCCCCCTCGTGGAGAAATGGAGGCAACAAAATGGCGGACCCGGAAGTGGAGACTGCGGGAAACACTTTCTGGCGGAGGGATCTGTGAAGAAAAAACGAGATTGGAACCTGCATTTCCATTCGAACTGAAGGATGAGGCACCTCTGAGGCTCGTTTGCTATCCGCCGAAGGCTCTTGGCGGTGGGAAAGCGTGTATCCGGGGAAATCCTCGGCGGGACTCTTTGGCGACGCGGAGGGTTTCGATGACGTGCCTTACGTGCCGCATAGACCGGCAGGGGGCGGGCCCGCGGCTTGTTTTGGCGCCAAGAACCAGGCGAGCCGCTAAAGGGAAAGCGGTTCTGCCCCGGTCCTGCTCCTCTTTGCTGGCTTCTTGGGAGGCCAGCGCTAAGGATGGAGAAGCCTTGTTCCCGCGTCCCCGCCGAGGGCCAGGCTGAGGGGGACGGCCTGGCTTTGCGCGAGAAACGAACTCCTGTGCCTGACGGACATGGTTCCCCTCCCGGCCTGAGCGGAAGGACCCGGAGCCCAGCTGTCAGCGCGGACAGGGAAACCAGTAACCGAGGCATTTCTTGGGGGCGGGGGGCGGGGGCTGGAAAACGATGGAGCGTGATGAGTTTGCAAATCCAATCCGGCGTCTCATTTACCAAACACTTGTAGCCGACCTCTGCCCAGCAGGCGCCACGAGGAAAGGACACGTCACGGACCCATCCATCCTCCATTAGATGTTGGCTTTTGACTTGGACGGTTGGCCATTCCTGGCCTGCGAGGCGGTTCTGCGTATCCCCCCCTTTCCTGGACTTCCCTAGGTCGCCTTCATGTCATCTTAGACAGTGTTTGCAGCACGTCGCCCAGGCGCTGCCCATGTCCGTATGTCCGGCTGCCCTTCTGAAGTTGTTTCATTCCCGCTGACATCATACTCTCTGGCTCCGTGCCTTTCCCTGGAGTCGGCACCCAAACACGACTTGGGAATGAGCACAAATGGTTGCGCGGTGGTGGTTTTTTTAAGTGAGCGTTTTAGGCAAGCAGGTGACATTTGGGTGCACTTGTTGGTTGTCTCGGGCACCCCGGCCGAGATGCAGAGCAGACTGCGAGCCGCGGGCGCCTGCCTTCCGCGGCGCCTGGAGTGACCAGCTCAAACATGTGGGCAGGCGGAGTGACTGGTCACAGCTTCCTCCCGAAATAGTTCTGCGTGGATTTCACCCCGGTTACCTACCTTTCCAAGCAGAAGTGCATCATTTTAATGTATAAACGCTACTCAAATCATTCTTCCTTCAAGTTGAAAGAAAAAAAATATACAAGCTAGGCCCTGACCGGTTTGACTCAGTGGACAGAGCGTCGGCCTGCGGACTGAAAGGTCCCGGGTTCGATTCCCGTCAAGGGCATGTACCTTGGCTGCGGGCACATCCCCAGTAGGGGGCGTGCAGGAAGCAGCTGATCGATGTTTCTCTCTCATCAGATGTTTTTAACTCTATATCCCTCTCCCTTCCTCTCTGTAAAAAATCAATAAGTTATAAATATATATATATACACAAGCTGAATGTGAAAGCAAGGCTAACGTCTGAGGTCCATACTGCTTTCCGGTGGAGAGAGAAAACTAGAATGCAGTCCTGGGGTTGAATGTCTTTATTAAAGAAATGAGTAAATGCAGCACAACCAGCAGCAGGAACGTTGGGAGGAGTGGGAACAGGCTGTGGGGTCAGAATGTGGTTGTTGGCTTCGTGGTCCTAAGGTAGCTGAGGCCCCTTGATCAACACACATCGCAGACGCAGGAGGGCAAGCCTAAGCTAAGGACCCACCCAAGGGCTTTTAGGAACAGAATCCAAACCTTACCAGGTACCACGATAGTCAACAAGATTGCATCTTAAGATTTGAAATCGAGTTTTCAAAAGTTTTCAGCCCACGGTTAGGAACCAAACAGTAAAGCAAGGAGGCTTGACGGAGAAACACCCTTTCGAGAGAGTGTAGCTGTTTCTGACACGATCCAGGGCTTTCCCCTATTTTCATTTTCCAAGATACATTACTCCTCTTGTTTTATACCTTTACCCCCAATTTCTCTGAGAAAATTTATTACAAGAAGGAGCAGAATCAAAAAAGCAAGTGTCTTATCACCTTAGCCTTTTAGAAATCCTACTGTCTTGTAGCAGATAATCTCAAAATTTACTCTTCAACCCTTGAAGAAATATTTGTGTGTGCTGGCGTAGAGCAAGAAATTAGGAAAATGGGAACAATCTCAAATGAGGTCAGAAAATCAGCCCTTCCATTTTACACTACGATACTACTCTCTGGTGCCCCCATCAGGCCTGTTTTCTGGAATTAATATGGACGGGGGAGGGGGGGGGTAGTAACTACTTCATTGCTTGAACCCTTTACTTTGTGACTTGAGGGCTTTTGAGAGAAACATCCATTAAATAAATAAATAAATAAATAAATAAACAAATAAATAAGTAAGACACAACTCTGGCAAATTCATCAGCACCACCGCAACACAATAGAGGGAAGAAAGCAAGATTAATAGGGGAAGGGATGGACAATGCAGGCGTGGTGGGAGAGAAGGCTCGGGCTTAGAGCAAGTCCAGGTCGAAGGCGTGGATGCTGGCGATGGGGGCCCTCCAGAAGTTGAAGGTGCTGTACTGAAGGAGGGCGTCGCCCTCGGGGTGTTTCTCCTGCTCTGTTTCCGTGGCTTGCCCGGTCATTTTGCCAGCGCTGCTGTCCTTGACCTTGTAGATGGATGTGTCTGACAGACCCAGGCTTTCCAGCTCCGACAGATCCAGTTCGGGAATGGGCATCCTCCAGAAAAGAAAGGAGCTGTACTGGCTGCTCACAGGGTCCCTCATGACGTCCTAAGGAGAAACCGCTGGTCAGTCTTCACGGTACAACAAGCTCTTTGTGGTCCATTCATGGCCTTTCCCTACTTAGAATCTTCACATCCCCATCGGCCCCATGGGATACGCTTCAGGGACCCTTCCTCTTTTACCATTTTCTACTACTTCCTAACTTCCCCCCAACTTGGAATGACTTTATTTACTGCCTACTGCTTCAAGTCAATCTTTTTTTTTTTTTTTTAATATATTTTACTGATTTTTTACAGAGAGGAAGGGAGAGGGATAGAGAGTCAGAAACATCGATGAGAGAGAAACATCAGTCAGCTGCCTCCTGCACACTGCATACTGGGGATGTGCCCGCAACCAAGGTACATGCCCCTGACACATGCCCCTGACCGGAATCGAACCCGGGACCCTTGAGTCCACAGGCCGTCGCTCTATCCGCTGAGCCAAACCGGTTAGGGCGTTTCAAGTCGATCTTGAGGCTGGTTTTCAAGGCCTCTCAGAATCTGGCCCTATTCTTCCGAGTAGTAGTGGTACATCTCTGCTACAGTTAATACTCATCACTCGCCGAAACCGGTTTGACTCAGTGGATAGAGCGTCGGCCTGCGGACTGAAGGGTCCCAGGTTCGATTCCAGTCAAGGGCATGTACCTGGGTTGCGGGCACATCCCCAGCGGGAGATGTGCAGGAGGCAGCTGATTGATGTTTCTCTCTCATCGATGTTTCTAACTCTCTATCTCTCTCCCTTCCTCTCTGTGAAAAATCAATAAAAAATATATTAAAAAAAAAAATACTCATCACTCACTCCACTTTCCATCTTAAAATACTACCCAAGTTTCAATACTCCACTCAAGTCCCTAGAGGAATTTTTCCCCTAAATTCCTATTATGTTTGCAAATACGGAACTTCTTCCTGCCTTTGGTTCATTAGGTCATGGCACCTCTGAAAAGGGCATTCAGGACAGTTCGGCTTTCTGTTTTCCTCCCTCTCTCCTAAGCCCTATGATAGCCCTGGCCGGGTAGCTCAGTTGGTTAGAGCATTGTCCCAATACACAAAGGTTGCAGGTTAAATCCCCAGTCAGGGCACATACAAGAATAAACCCAATGGCCCTGACTGGTGTGGCTCAGTGGATAGTGTTGGCCTGCGCACAAAAGAGTCGTAGGTTCGATTCCCGATCAAGGGCACGTACCTGGGTTGCAGGTTCTATTCCTGGCCCTGATTGAAGTGCCTGTGGGGGGGCAACCATTCAATGTGTCTCTCTCACATCAATGTTTTTATCCCCCTCCTTTCCATTCTCTCTCTTAAAAAAAAAAAAATCAACCAATGAATGCATAAATAAATGGAACAACAGATTGATGTTTCTCTCCCTTCTCTCTAAAATAAAAAAAAACTTACAATAAAAATAAATCCTATTATAAACTCACCTCTTTCAGGAGGACTTCCTTAAACTTATTCGGCTCCAGCTACCCATTTCTTCTAGCATCTCCCTTACCACTGTAGTTTTACCTGACTATATCAGTTTGGGGTTACAGATCACTGTTACAAGTATAGGGATAGTCTTATCTCCTTCAAGAGACTGAGAATATCCCCAAGGGTATAAACCAATCTATTTAGTACTTTGTGCAAAGCCCACAAGCGCTGGGCTTTGCACACAAAAGACATTCAAGGCTGCTGATTAATTTTCTCTCACTCTTTATTTAATACAATGAATACCTCGCCACTCCCATCTATTAGTCCTCAGATAAGCTTTAACAGCCTATCTATTTCTCTGTAACCTACCTCTGCTTCCGAACAAAACCCAGGTGCTAAACGAGTTTTCCTATGCTATAACAGGTCTCTTCTCTGGTCACAATGCTAGAATATATCTGATGATGGTGAGAGCAAATGGATTAGAAACTCCAGGTAAGTAAGGTAAAGTTTAGATTGGGAGGAGAAGGTGCTTTAACAGAATTAGATACTTGTCCATGCTTTCATCAGTACTTTTATCACCCTTTCTGCTCATCCTTCCCATACCCTGATGTTATGTGACTTATAAATTACCTCCCTGCAGCCTCCACTCTGCTGCTTGCTAGCCAAGGGAAGGGGCAAGAAGCATTAGCTGAAACGTTCCCAAAGGAGCAGAAAGAACATTCCACCACTGCCTCCAAAAATAGAACCCTGTTTCAAAAGGACTTCCTCCAACACACTCCATTGGCTCTCATCAGGCCTTGAGATGCCTAAATAGTGGCCTAAAATAGGTTCCAAAATGTGTTAGGCAGACATGATAACTAGTCCTGACTGGTAGTTCAGTGGTTAGAGCATCAGCCCTTGCACCAAAGAGTCATGGGTTCGATTTCTGGTCAAGGGCATATATCTGGGTTGCAGGTTCAATCCCTGGCCCTGGTCAGGTTGAGTGTGGGAGGCAACCAAGTGATGTGTCTCTCTCCCCCTCCCTAAAAAAGAAAATATATTGGATGAGGATTGACAAAAAAATAAATATATATATATATTTTTTTTTTCTAAACAACAAAAAACATGATAACCAGTACCCTACAGAAACCCTATCAACCCATATAATGTGAAATGTCTCTAAGTAAAAAAGGCAGAAAAAGAATGCATTAATCTAGAATATGTTTCTGTGTGAGTGTGGGAGCTTTAGGAGGGGTAAGTAGGTAGACTCAGATGTTTTTAAAGTTAAAAGCAAATGCTGAGTTGCTCTTTTTTGTCTTAGGTTCAAGCTCCAAAATAAACCCCAAGCAGAGAAGCTGCTTAGGGGTGTGATGCGGGGACTGGGACAGGGTGGGAACATGTTAGAAAGGTGAGGTCATCATCCTATGATAGGCAGCTCTGATCATCGCCGCAATAATCTGCAGAGCCATGTGCACAGAGAGTTGCAAAAATGGTTGTACCTATTAACCAATCAACCAGGGTTATAGAGATCCTAAGAAGCAAACCTTAGGAGACAAAATGTTACTTCTGTCCACAGGGATATTTTACTAATATTACTAGTTATTTGCCTGCATAACAGGCTTCTTTTATATCCCCGCCCTTATCAGTTTTCTCCAGTGAGAGTTTAGTATAATGCTGGGCAAATATAATAGGCTCTTTAAAAAAAAAAAAAAAATAGAATCGTAAGGTGGGGAGGAATTAATAGATTTTTAAAACTAGAAAACACCTTAGAAATTATCTAGTGACTTGTGAAGCCTCCCAGCCAGTTTGGATTAGAATCCAGGTCTCCTAATCCCCAATCTGGACTTCTTTGATGTGTTATACATAGATAGTTGCCTTTAGCTTTACGTAATCCTATACCAATATTCTCAAAACTTGCAAGAATTCTTAGTTCCTGGAGAGCAGATATGCAGTGGGTTAGGTACTGATTGTTCTGTGGTTCCGATCTGAATGGTGAACATGCAATAGGCAATGGAGAGCAAGCTAGAATCCGAGAAAGGGAGAAGGCTCTGACAAACGGACTCCCTTCCTTACAGCCAGCATATGTCTCAAAGCTCTCCAATCCCTGAGTATCTGGCAGGGCTTCTCTTGACAATTAAAAAAGCGGAGGGAAATTGCACGAAATATTGACTTAAAAGGCCTAAAATCTCTAGGTATGGCTCAGAGACATCTACAGAGAGGACCAAATACATCCTAGAAAGATACTCCTACAAGTATTGACAGCATTTAAAATCAAGTCAAGCGCATTACCTACGCAGAAAATGGAAGCTAAAATAGCCTTTACGTTGATAATGAAATTTTAAAATTTAATAGAGTGTGAATTTAATTCCCAACTACCCAAATTTTGCAAGAGGTCTCTTTTCAGCTAGCTTTCTCTTCCCCTCTCCATTTGCTTGATTAGCAAATATATATAAAAAGAGACACTCTCACTGAACCACACAGACCCGCCCAAATACCCTTTGTCCAGCCCCCCAGTGGGAATCCAAGGTCTACCAACCAGGCCTTGCTGTGTCATGCTGCCACCGTGGGGTGGAAGGACAAGGCATGGTGGTGGTGGGGAATGGAAGGGCTCCGGCATCTCACTGCATGCGCCTCATTCTGGGCTTGGATCTTTCTCACGGCCATATCCTTCCCCCACCGATTCCACTGAGCTGCAAATAAGCATTCCTTTTCCAGAATCTGTCCCTAAACCTACTAGCTTTTGTGTGCTGTACTAATTCAATATGGGATCCGGTAGTTCTCCAACACAGAGGCCCCCCACCTTCCTACCTCAAGCTGCTGCTTTCTTTGGAGCAAGATGAGATGTGGAGGAGATTATTAAAGGAAATGTGAGGATTAATCTCAATATTATCTCATATCCCATCCCCCAAACTGCCTCCTGTGGAGACAAGTTTGGGGTGAAGGAAGACACATCAATAAGACACTACAGGGAAAAAAGAAAAGAAAAGAAACAGAGGGAAATAGAGGCTAGAGCAATACAGTAGGACTAGAGATTCATAAGAAGAAGAAGAAAAACACACCACACAAATTATAGCTTGAAAGAAAGATAGAGATAACTAGACTGAAGATAAAATACACAGGACAATAAATTGTAGGCAAATAGGTACTTGACATGAGATAAATGCTAAGAAATAACTACAGGTAAATTGTTAAAAATTAATGTCTGTGTTCAGGATTATAAGGCATGGATGGAGATGTGAGCAAGAGATGGAAAACGGTGAACAAATTAACTACCGTTGTTCATAGCGGCGCCTTCTCTCCGCTAGAACTGTCCCCCAACCTCATCCTTATTTGGGGGTCCCTAACCTAACCAGAAGCAGCTGCTCTTCTATCTCTGCAGCCCCCCTCTCCCTTCCCCCTCCCCCAGTTAGTTTACCTGTTATCAGTGAATTACTAGTGTGTTCCGAAGATGGAGGGAGGACCCCAGGCTCCGGTCCCTGCTCTGGGCTGGAGAGAAAGGCAGCAGCGGGGGCTTGGCCGGCTTTGTCTTCTCGCTCCCGCTCCCTCTCCCTCTCCAGTGACTGAGGCTCGCCGCCGCCTCCCCCTGCAATGCAGCCCCTCCTAGGAAGGCGGGGGGCCTCCGCCCCTCCCTGCCTGACTCGGCCGATTCAAACCATAGGCTCCCGGGCGCTTTCGGAGGCAGCGGGCTGAGGCGCCTCCGCAGGCTCATTGGTCTGCACGGTGACCCCAGCCCTTCCAGCGCCCCCTGCAACCCGAGGTGCACTGAATAGGCAGCTATGGCCCTCGGATTTCAGGTTTATGGCTTAAGCATCTTCACTCTAGACAACAATGGAGGCGTGCCCCTTTATCCCCCCGACTTAAGGGTTTCAGGTGACCAAGTATTTTTGAAAATCAGGGAAATTCTCCCTCCAACCCTCCTCCTCCCGACTCGCCTCCCCACCCCCATAACGGGTGCCCTGCTCCACTGCGGGTAGAACACAGAAGATGGGGGGCGGGGGGCTCGCTGCGTCTGGGAAACTCGGGACTTGGTAGGGTCCGGGGGACATGGGGGCTTTAGGGACTCCGCTTCGCAATGCCTGGCGCGCAAAGAAAACGTGCGATTCCGGGGGACCCAGCTTGGGTGCCCGGTCCCCACCGACAGGTCCCCACTCCGCAGTGCGCCGAGAGGGGCGGCGGCCCGAGGGGGCTCCCGAGGCCCCGCCCAGGGCCCGCCCCGCGCGCAGCCGCCTCGGTCCGGGGTGGGGGGAGCTGTGCGCCCGCCCCCAGCCGGACGAGTTTCGTAATCGCGTCGCCGCCGTTTCCGCCCTCGGCCAGCCCCACCTCTGCCGGCCCGCCCTCGGCTCCCCACCGCGCCGAGGAGCGATCCCGGGGACCCCACACTGGCGGGCACCGAGCGGAAGCCCCCCAACCAGCTCTAGCCGGGCGCCTCGATGCCGGAGCCGAGCAGGTGAGAGCGTTGGACTTGGTCCCCGGGCGGTGCGCCCCGCCCGTCCCGCCGACCGGATGCTGGGGGTGGGGGAGGCGAGCGTCCAGGGCGGCGGGCGGGCTGGGTCGGTGGGAAAAGGGGTGCGTCCCTTGAGTAACCGCCCCCGTCCTCGCTCACGCGCCCCTCGCCCCCCCGGTGCGGCCCCTGAGGAGTAGAAGGGAAAGGGGGCTGGGGTGTTGGGGAGGTGGGAGGGGAGGTCTCCTCCGAGGCGCACTGGCCTCGGGCGGAGCCGAGCTGGGTCCGGGGAGGTCTACACCCGGGGCCGGGGTGGCCACGGAAGACCGTGACAGCGCCCGAAAGATGCCCCGAGGGGCCCCAGGCCTGGTGCAGCGCTGGGAGGAGCAGCAGAGGGTGTCGGGGTCGAGTTGGGCGGTCGGCAGAAATGGAGTTTGTGTGGCTGAAATGACAGCACGGAGGGGGTTTAGGGCCGGCTTCTGTCTCATCTGACGCCCCACCAGGCCTTCCCTGGGGCAGATGCCTGAAAAGGGGGCGTCTACCCCGACTGCCCTCGAGCCCTCGGGAGCTCTCCTGGCCTGGAGGCCCGCGGGGGAGCAGCTGCAGCCCCGGGCTGATTGCCCCTCCATTCCCTCCATGCGCTCTCTCTCCAGCTGCTGCCTGTGAAGGCTTGTCGGGCAGCGGGTTGGAGGCCTTGGGGCTGCAGGCAGCGGGACCGGGAAAACCGGTTTGGGGCTAGAACAGGACCGGGGAACTACCTATGAACATCCTTCCTCCCGGAACCTTCTCCCATCCCGTCTCCCGCTCACCCCCCCACAGCTCCGCAGCTGCTCAGCCCTAAGCCCCGGTGACCGTGGTGTCCCCCCAGCTCCAGTTCGCCCTTCCTATTTGGGACTTAGGCCCGGTTCTCGGAACCACCCCACTGTCAGGATGTGGACCTCTGTGCTCTAACCCTGACCCCTCCTGCTGTTTCCCCTTCACTGGGCTTGGTACCTCTTTTAAAGAAGGAGAGTGGCAGCCAATCACTTACTTTTCTGGCCTTGTTCTCCCCACCCTCCCAGCCCCAGTTTCACCCTGCCCGGTTTTCTCCACACGCTGACACCCCCCCACCCCCAAGTTTTAGGCACCCGGAGGTCCTGTGTCCGAGGGAATGGAATTTCCTGGTCACTTCGCATCATCACGGGTAATTTCATGCCAAGTCCCACACACACACTTTCCCTCCACCCAGCTCTGGCCAGGTCCCTGGAAAAGGAACAGAACCGTCCTTGTTCCCTCCGTTGCCCCGTTCCCTCTCCCTCTCCTCTCCCCCTCTTTTCTTCTCTCTCCTCCCACCATCCACTTCTGTCCACTCAGCTTTGAGCCAGGGGGGTGTTGGGGAGAGTCCAATCTCAGTGCAGCCTGTCTGGTGGTGTTGGGGGTTTCCTCTCATTCTTCATTGTTGTCTCCATCACCCCCCACCCCTGCCTCCAACCCTTACCACAGGCTGCCACCGCCATCACTACAAACCCTGTGACTGACTTCCCCATTGACCACAGCTCCCCTCTCTGGACAGCTGTGTTCTGACTTCCACCCTGTCTCGTAACTCCTCCCTCCAGCAGTGGGAAGGGAAGTAAGAGAAAGGACCTGGGTCCTTCCCTTCCTTAGAAGCTGTATCAGTGTTTGTGTGATCTCATCTCGGGGCTTTTTAAAACACCACCAACTACTACTCAGTTCTTAGATCCGTCTAGGTTGCCAGAGCTTCAGGGTTCAGGGCCTGGGACTGGAGGGACAGGAGGTCCATATTCATGCATTGATAGTATTTATCAAGCTGCCCTGTCCGTGGAAACGTTGAGCTTGCCTGTGTTACAGGACTGCGGAAACGCAGTGAGCACAGAGAAACTCAGCTGTGCCCTACCCTGGCCGGCAGTAATGAGAGTTCTTCCTGGGGCACTAACGCTTTGGAAAGTTCCTTGGGGATGGAAGTGGTGAGGACGGAGGGGAGAACAGGTCACGGCATGAGGGGAGGAGAGAGGGGGGGAGAGAGGCAGGCGCGGAGCAGAGTGGCACGATAGGACATGTGAAGAGGGCGGGGAGGCTGGAGAAAGATTCCTCCTGGCCGGCAACCTGTGCACAAGTCACACACGGAGATACGGCCATGCCACGGGGGTGCACGTGCAGGGGTGAGGTGACATAGGACTCAGAGAAACAGTGTGTGCAGCCTTGAGGCAAGATCTCAAGGTCAAGTCATAAAGGCGCTGCTAAATGTCTTTGGGAGGGGTTGGATCTCAGTGGAGGGAAAGGAGGAGGAACAAGGGCAGGGAATAGAAAGAGAGGGAGGGAATTTCTCACCGTGGCAAGTCTTTCTTGAGGATCAACCTGCCGTACTTAGTTACCTAGGACTTAGGTGGTCAGGGTCTTAAAGAAAATGTAGGTGTTGAGGGTAAGGTAAGGGAAAGCGGGGGAGGGACAGGGGCGGAGGCCTTGTTTGTGAGAACAAAAAAAACCACCATTTCCTCTTCAAAGTCACTTCGCTGCCCCTCCCCTTCTGGCCTGTACCCAGGGAGAAGAGAGGTAGAGCTTGTAGTACCCCCCAAAGTGTGCTCAGTTATGCCACTATCCTTTGGTCCCCTCCCATCCCATCATCCTAGATGCCTCCAGCCCCCTTCCTCTCCCTTGGTGCCAGCAGCTGCTACGCCTTAACCCCTTGGTGCCCTTTGGTTCTTTTCCTTCCTTTGAGAGTCTCCCTGTGAGGTTCTGCCGACTGAGGAGGTGAGTGTCGTGCACAGGACTAGGGCTTTTAAGGGAGAACGCGCGTCTGAGCTCTGTAGGAGGCTTCTCAGGGAGGGAGGGATTCCCCGTTCACCTTTCTTCTCTCTCTCCTTTCTGCTCCTCCAGGGTTCCAGGCCTGAGGAAGAGAACCGTGCGCCTGCCTGCCCACCTCACTGCCTGGCCCTGCTGGTTTCCCGGGGTCTGAGACACGGGCCTTTCCTGCGGCGTGAACCCAGGGTGTTGCGACACCTGAAGGGAGTGAGGAGTGGGCGGTCCAGGCACCAGGGCAAGAGCCCTCTGGGGCCTTGGGCAGCAGAGTGAAACTGGAACCATCAGGGAACATGAGTGAATTTTGGCACAAACTGGGCTGCTGTGTGGTAGAGAAACCCCAGCCGGTGAGTGTTCCTGCCCCCACCCCACACGCACAGAAATCAGTTACCGTATCCTGTTGGGGAGGCTCACCTTCTAGGACCTGCAGTCTAGAAAGCACTGGTCTAGCCTCCCTCTCTGTCGGGATCGTTTTCAGTGGCGAGGCAGGTGTGTGCCACAGTAAAGGGGGACTGGGTGATGGGAGAAGTGAATCGTCCTAGCTCTCACTTCCTGTCCCTGTCCCTTCTGAGTTGGGTGGGGGTTGTAGGTGGAGCTTAATACCTGTCAGTTTCCCCCATTGTTTCCTCATCAGCCAGGGGTGACTTTGATGTGTCCTTTCCTTGTCCAGTGTTCACTCTGCCGGCCACTGCCCTCACCGCCCTGCCTGTGTCCTCCCTGTGCTATTCCAGCCTTGCCTTTCACACCCTAGTGATTTATTTCCCTATTGTAACGCCATATTCCCTTTCCTACCGGGCCTTAGCTCTTCCCTTAGTGGTTTTCAAGACTCTTTTTTCCTTCCTCCACTGTGACTGCAGGAGGGGCTTTCAGACATAACTCCCCTATTTTCTCCAAGCAGAAGAAGAAGAGGAGGCGGATCGATCGGACCATGATTGGGGAACCAATGAATTTTGTCCACCTGACTCACATTGGCTCCGGGGAGATGGGGGCCGGAGATGGACTTGCCATGGTAATAAGGGAATGTTTGATATGGGGTTGTGGCCTAGAACGGTTCCTCTTTGAAAGTTCGAGCAGGGGTCATCACAGAATGCTTGATGGGGAAGTAAGCAGCGAGGATTCTAGTCCCGGTCACCAGTTGGGTAAACCTGGGACCTTGGCATTTCAGGTCTCTGGCATTTTAGGCTCCCTCATCTTTACAGTTAACAGGTTCTTATTAATTGGGGTGGGAGATAGATATGTCTTTAAGAGTTACTTGGACGGCTTTTTCCAAAAACCGTATCTGTTCCTTCTATTCATTAAGAACTGCTGTCTCAGTGCTGTAGTAAGTCACATTGCGGTTGGGATGTTGGGGCAGGAAAAAGGCCGAGCACCTCTGTCCTAAATAACGTCTAATATGTATTTTGCTCTCAAAATAAGGGAAAGGGAAAGGGAAATGGGGATGGAGATAGTGAAGGAGTCTTTTCACCAATTGCAGAACTTAGATAACTATGATAGGGTCCTTTGTGGGAGGATCTTATAAGTAAAAGAACACTTTTTCTTTTTAAGCCCTCACCCAAGGACATGCTTTTATTAATTTGAGAGAGAGAGGAAGGGAGAGGAACATTGATGTGAGAGTGAAACATCAATTGGTTGCCTCCTGCACGTGCCCCGATGGGGGAATCGAATCCATGACCTTCCGGTGTATGGAACCATGCTCCAACCAACTGAGCCACACCAGCCAGGGCGTAAAAGACTAATTTTTGTCTCATCCTCACAAAGGTCAGTGTGAAGGGAGGCATGGGAACCTCCCTTGGAAGAATGGTGATTAATTTTAACCTTTCCAGATGATTTTATCTTCAAGGAGATGGGGTCAGCCTCTTCCATGGAGGGCACAGGGGAGGTTTCTTACTGTGAGACATGAAGACTTGGGAGAGTTTCACATGTGCTTTTCCACAGACAGGCGCTGTTCAGGAGCAGATGAGATCCAAGGGAAACCGAGACAGGCCATGGAGCAATTCTAGGGGCTTGTAGCTCCAACAGGAATGGTGAGTAAATAGAGAGCACCTCCAGCACCCGCTGAGCTCTGCCTTGGAACCCTGAGCCTCTGCAAGAAAGGGAATCGAGGGAAGGAAGAATTAGCCCGGGAGAGGTAGTGACGTGGGATCCAGAAAAGCAGAGAGAGAGGGATGTGCCGACAGGAATAGAGAAAAGAGCGCGCTGTGGAACTAGTCTGCACTAGGTGGTGCCTTTCTCCCCGAGACCTTGGTTTTCTTTGAGGCTAATCTTTTTTTTTTTTTTTTTTTAATCAGTTTTTGCTGTCTGAAGTCTCCACTCTGTGCCCAGCCCAGAAGAGATGCTGCCTCCACCAGATCCTCCGAGAACCAGTGTCCTCAAGGCCCCTTTTTTTCCTTATCTGCCTGATAGTGCCTCAAAAGGCTTGGGGGCTGGACTCCCCCCTCCCTCCTCTGGCTGTAGCCCCTCCTGGAGATGGGGTCAAGGCAGCAGGACTGACCAAGTAACTACTGGTTGGCCAGAGGAGCTCAGCTGAAGCCCTGGACACTCTCAGATCTGAAATGGGAGTTTCTGGAAACCTGGAATGAGTTCCCTCCTCCTGAATGACAGTCTGGGTGCCACCTGTTTTTAATCTATTAGCCTGAACTCCTTAAATGGCAGGTGGGTGAGGTTACCAAGCTGGAGCTGGCTTTGCTGAGAGCTCCCTACCTCTCTGCCCTTCTCCTTCCTTCTGGAATGAACTGAAGCAGACCTCAAGCAGGGGCTGGGAGGGGGACCACTGCCTAGTCGACTCTCTTTAAATCTCAGATCTTAAGCTCACAGCCCTTCAATATCTCTCTGCCAATACCAGCGTCTTTCTCTAGTTAGGCCTCTAACCCTGTTTCTGTAGCATTGCTAGCTCCCCAGTATCTTTCCTTTTTAAAAACTAATTAAAAAGTAAATTTAAGATGCATTCTCGTAATTACCCCCACCCTGCTACTACCTCCGTCCTTACCCTTAGAAACCTTATTGTTTCCCATTGAATAAGACTTAAGAGATGGGTCTTAACCTGATGACATTCCAGTTAGATCTTGGGGACCTGGCCTGCCCTCTGCCAACCTCCCTGCTGGCCCAGGTGAGAGGAGGAAGAGGGAGCTGGAGAGAAATCCAGATGGCAGCGAAACTAGGAGTTATGTCTCAGGTGGACTTGCTGACCCTGGAGGATGGAAGGTGGGGAGATGAATTGGTTGAAAACAATCACCTGGGAGTTTAGGAATCTTAAGATCCTCACAACCTGGGCGCAGGGAGACAGCAAGGTTTCTCAGTCTGGACACTTTTGACATTTTGGGCTGGATCATTCTTAGTACTGGGGACTGTCCTGTGCATGATAGGATGTTTAGCAGTGTCCCTGGCCCACCCTAGTTATCACACCCAAAAATGTCTCCAGACATTGCCAAGTGCCTCCCAGGGGGGCAGAAGTGCCCCAAGCTCAGAGCCAGCGCTCTAGAATCAACACATTTTTCTCTTGAGTGATTTTTATCCCCTACCACACCCCCATCCCATTATTCATCCTAAGCCTGAGCCTGGATGAACTAGACCCCCTGTAAACTAGGCTTAATAGTCTCCAACAATTTTGTACTCATTGTGTTGCTTGTGCTTGCATGGGTTGCTTGTGATGGACGTGCTTCTCCCTTGCTCGGTGGAGGAGGGGTTCCTGCAGTGGTGGGATTGGGGAAGGGAGGGAGAGAAAAGCAGTAGAGCCGTAGACACCCCAGCGCTGTCCTCCCCAAACTTGAAGCTCTGTTTCTGTGCCCTAGTCCTGGAACCAGACACAAATAAGACTCAGGGAGTTTTGTCTGAAGAACGCCCCACCTGGCCGAAGAGCCTGCTTTAGGTGGGGAAGTAACAGAGGAGCAGGGTCTTCCAGCACTTTCCGTTTTCTCAGGTGTGTTTTGTCCTGCCCCCTTCCTCTCGGAGAGATTAGGAGGCAGCACAGGACAGATGAGCTCCTGCCTGCTCTGTGTCCAGAACACAGGGGTCTCTCAGTAGCTCAGTAGCAGGAAGCATGGTGGTAGTGGGGGGTCAGGAATGGGGGAATGAGGATCCACTCTGCTGATCCACCATCTATGAAGTTTGCCCCCAGCTACAGTGACTGAGGTTCTAATTTTTTCAAGTTTCCGTGTATTTTCTAAAGGTTTCTAAGGTCTAAGATTGCTCAGAGGTAACATTCCAAATCTACTCTGTGCCAGTCAAGCTAGTTGCTCTGAAAGTAGTTCATCTTGTTGCCCCAAAAGTAGCTCAATAGCATGAGGGTTTTACTAGATCTAAAGGGTTGACGGGATCGGGTAGGAAGATGGAGGCTCCTGGAATCTGGTCACCCTGATCTTTTAGCCTCATTCTTAGGCCAGTTCTTTGGGCACGATCTTTCCTTTGGTTCTCTCTTAATTACCTTCTCTTATGTGTGTGCTGCCATCACTTTAACAATATTTAGAGTGATGGGAATGGGTTTGAGAGTCGTAATTTATATTGAAAATTTGTTGGACTTCTAAATATACTTTTCAAATAAAAAGTTGAAGCAAAATAGTCACAGAGTAATCACTACAGGTGCATATTGGATTAAACGATAGATACGGCTGATGAAGGGTAACTCCTCGAAAGTGGTTGGTGTGGGATTTTGTACCATTGTCCTTTCTGAGGAGAAGGCTAAGTATTGTGAAGGCAAGACCACCATCATCTAAGGGCTCAACTCCTGCTGAGATTTTTTTCAAAAGAAGGACTTGTTTAAAAAAACAACTCGAAATAAGGAAGATGGACAACAACCATTTTATCCTGGGGGACAGGAGAAGCCCAAGCCAGATGCTGCTAGCTACCCAGTTCAGTTTCACAAAATTTTTGGTCTCTCCTCCCTCAGATACCTCTGTAAAAAGACACAAGACCAAACAATTTTTTTTTCTAGTTTTGTTTTTCTGTACTAAAAATACCCAGTGGGTGCTGGGATTGAAAGGGGAGGAGAGGTTGAGATGCTGACACCTCTTCTTGCAGATCAAGTGGCCATTACCTCCGGTTTCTGTCTATCTGGGTAAGGAAACAAAATAGAGAAAAGGGGGAATATTATAATGACATCTATTTCGTTTTTCCTTGCTTCTCCCTCTGCCCACAAACCCTCATTCCCTCAACACTACTGCCCCCTATGGATGCTTTTTTATATTGAATGATGGCTTTGGACACACAAGGAGACACACAAAAACCATTTAAATGACCATGCATACATTTTATTGTCCTTCCTCTCTCCCCAAAGGTCCTGTCATTCTGTCAACTGAGAATATTTTAGCAGGTCAACGAGAGCCTTCGGTGGTTCTTTTGGTAAAGCAGAGAGGCCTGTCCTTAAGAATTCTTAGGTTGCTGAGGATAATACCAGAACAATTCTTGGGGATAGTGATGGTTAAGAGCATTGACACTAGAGTCAAATCTGGTCTAAGTTCTACTGTAACTCTGCCACTTACTGGCTTAATAAACCCCCATTTCTTCAGTTGTAAAGTGGGGATAATAATACCTCATAGGCTGTTGCAGGATTGATCCAGGTAAAGTGCATATAGCAAGACCTCAAATATTGGCTGTTGTTGCTCTTAAACTGCATTAATAAGCTGAAAACTTAATTATCTTCCATATCCATTAATTATCTGCGTCAAGAATTCTTAACAATTTGGTCAGTTATCATCTAGTGACCAATAATACATGTTGCCTAATGACCAACCAGTTGTTCAAGATGTAACAGGTGGAATCCATGGCCAACAATAACGTGAATAAACCAATGCATATTAGGAATCAGTAACCAGACAGATAAGTAGCAGTTCATGCAAGCACCCGGGCTGGTTCAGGATTTTGCAGAGCTATCGACAAAGATCCTGGCTCACCACCAAACACTTACCGGTTGCATCTTGGTGAACACTGAAGAGAGGCTGTTCCAAATATCCTCCAGCCCAGCCCTGACCTGCTTCCAAAACATAAGCGCTGGACTGGGGCTGGGACTGGGGATGAGCCTGGGGATGGGCATAGGGGTGGTAGTGGTGGTGGTGGTGGTGGTGGTGGTCTGAGTTTCAGACCAGAGGGCCGTGTCCAGGGGGCACTCCTCAAGACGCCGATCACAGCGACATTGCTGGTAGGTGCAAGGCCGGTGCTCTGTGCGGAGTTGGCTCAGTGCCCCAACTCGAAGGCGCCCAGAAAGGCCCTGCAGCCTCCCGGCCCGGGTCCTGCTCATGGTGCCCGACTTGCAGTGGCAGTGCCACGGGCCCCAGGGCATCAGCACCAGCCGCAGGTCCTCGGGAGGTGGCATGGATGAGGGTGAGATGCGAGACCAGCGCCTGGGGCTGGAGCCTGCTGTTGGCCAGCGGGTCAGGCTGGTGTCGTACAGCGGCTGGTGCTCGGTAGACCTCCAGCTGCCGGGCGGCAGGCTCGTGGTCAGCCTGTATTCCGGCTCCTGGATATTCGCTGCAAACCTGGAGGTGAACCTCCTCGTGGTGCTGGAAGGCGTGCTGTCAATCCCTGACTCGCTGTTATTCTTTTGGGCGTTAATCACCACCCCCTCCTCCAAAGACCCATCCTGGTCTTGCTCCCAGGAACGCAACTTGTTCATGTCCGTGAACACCGTAGAAGCCAAGAGCTCGTCAACGGCGGGGCCCGCCAGGCGGTCGGCAGTGGCCGCCACGTCATCCTCATCCTCCATTATTACCCTTCTCTTCGGGGGAACACCGGTCCGGGAGGTGGGCCGGTAGTGGCGGGTCATCGGGCCCCTGGAGCGGAACCTGGTCGGCTGCTTCCCCGTTGAAGCCAGGCCTTGGGCCCCCGCCACCGCCCCGGTGCCCAGGCTCAGCAGCAGGGCCCAGAGCAGCGCGCCGGCGGCGGGGACCATGGGGCTGGACCGTGTGGGGCTGGGAGGGAGGCCAGTGACCGAGGCGGGCTCCTCCTTTCTCTCCCTCCTCCCTTCCGCTCTCACCGACCCGCCGGGTCGTTAGAACCGAGGCCCGCGGCGGGGCTCCGATGCGCGCGCCACGCCCCTCCCCCGGGGCCCTCGCCTCCCGAAGCCCCAGGGGCTGAGCTGGAAATCCGCGGGGACCCCGGCAGCGAGAACGCTGCGGACGGACGGATTGTGATGTCAGGGGCGGGGGAAAGAGCAGGGCACTTCGTGGGCGCACAGCTTCAATCTCTCGCAATTTATTGAGCACTACACATCTGAATTGACTAAAGAAAGGTTTTGAAAACACTCCTTCCCAGGCTCACAGGCAGCAGACAGGACTAAGAAGGAATGAGCGGCAGACAGCGGTTCTCCAAGCTTTGGGGGGAGGGGGGCCATGGACTCCTTGCTGGCTCCCACAAGCAGGCTGGCTGTGCTCAGTGAAGCCCTGCTCTTCCCATGGCCCCTCATCGGGCGCCTGGAATACCCCAGGTGGAGGGATCTCAGCCCCTTCCTTTAAGAGGATGCAGATGACTCCTGGAGATGAAGTGACTGCCCCAGGTTCTACAGCTAAAGCAGGACGAAGACTCACAGCTTTGCACTGGCCCGTACAAAAGACCACTCCTTGCTGAAAAGAAAGTCACCAGCAGATCAGGTTCCAGACCTCAAGCTCTGCTTGGAAGGCAAGGACTGGAGAGGAATGACACACTGAGATGTACAGATCCCGTGGTACTGCGGTTGACGATGAGATGATTTACAAAACAGCTTAGATGTTTCAGGGGTAAAGGTGTAGGCAGACTGATATCTTTGCTTGGTTCTAAGGCCTTTTATTCCAATCCCAGGCTAGGTCCTTCCTGAGTCATGGAGATCCTGGTCCAGCCTAGGAGAGAGAAGAATAAATAGTACAGGAACAGGACCTGGGTTTTCTTGTTTATTTGGTATATATATATTTAATTGATTTTTTAGAGAGAGAGAGAGAGAAAGAAACATGAATCAATTGCCTCCCGCACACACCCTGACTGGGGATCAAACCCGAAATCTAGGTATGTGCCCTGGCCAGGAATAAATCCACAACCTTTTGGTGTACAGGATGATGCTCCAATCAACTAAGCCACCAGGCCAGGGCAGAACCTGGGTTTCACTCGCTGGTTTGGGGAGAAAAGCCAGGTGAATGGAAGTTGGTGATGCTTGCATTGGTCATCATTTAGGGTTCCTTTGCTCCCCAGTACCCCTCCCCGACTGGATAGTCTCTCCAATTTACTGCCAACAAAAGTTCCTTTCTAATTTCTGGAAAGAAAGAAATGCGAGACCTGCAACGTCCCTTTCTAATCTCCTCTAAATTCTGTGCTGTGATTATTCCTTCACTCCTTGTTGCCTCGGCACTCACATGTACAGATTTTTATTTGTTTGTGTTGGATACAGTAGAGTCCTGTCCTTAATTTTTTCTCTGCATATGTGCATATTTGCCCAGATGCTTCGGAACATCTGAAAGCAGGGCCTCAGGTTTTTAGTTCCTTTGTGTCTCCCCCAAGGCATTAAGAAAACGGATACTGGCCCTAGCTGGTTTGGCTCAGTGCATAGAGCGTCGGTCGGACTTCGGGTTGGAGGGTCCCAGGTTCGATTCCAGTCAAGGGCACATGCCCGGGTTGCGGGCTTAATCCCTAGTTGGGGGAGTGCAGGAGGCAGCCGATCAATGATTCTCTCATCATTGATGTTTCTATCTCTCCCTCTCCCTTCCTCTCTGAAATCAATAAAAGAAGAAGAAGAAGAAAAAAAGAAAATGGATACTGGCTTTACACATCCCACCCCAAACCACTATCCTTAAGCTCAGGACTCACCGTCTGACAGCTTCTGGGATGTGGACCTGATCCAAGGAGATGAGTTGGCCCAGTTCTCCCAGGCTGTTCAGAAAACGAATTTTTCGTGTGAACTTGGAACTGAAAAGAGGGGATAAACCATATGTGTTGTATACTGGGAAGAGGGCTCCTGGAGACCCTTACAACAGGAAATGGAACAGGTGGAGAGTGGTTGAAAGACGGGAAAGAGTCAGGATGGGGCCAGTTCTTCTTGATTTTGAAAATGGGAAGAAGTGGGGAGCATTTGAGATCTTGTTCTAGAGCTTATGTTATCAATTTGGTTCAAATAAACTCATTTAAAAAAAATGGGAAGAAGGGGAAGGTAGGGGGTCCTTGTCCCCAGAGCTCATACCTGATGAAGGGCCGAAGCAGTGCCAGGAATGCCTTCATATACCACGTGGCATGGACAACCACCAGGGCACGCAGGTTTTTCCTTAGCCTGAAGAAGAATAGGAGATCATCCTATTTCTTCTTCCATCTTTATACCTGAAGATCAGGTGGAGCTATATTCTTTAACTTCCTTCCCTTTTCTAATTTCTAGATTTTTCTGGCAACTGGGTCTAACCCCCATTCTTTTCATTACAATCTCAGCTCCATCCATCTTATTCAACCCTCCATGCTCCTCATTCTTAGGAAATTCTCCTCTCAGAACCCCTCAGCTTGATCTTTGATGCCCCATTTCCCTCCCGTGTCCTTCCCTCCTCATATAAGTTCCTTGGCTACACTTCCCCATCCCTCCATGACCAGGCCTATTTATAAAACTCCAGGTGGAAGAAGGCCAGTGAGGAGAAAATAAAGAAGAGGGAAGAAGAAAGAGACAAATGAGCAAATGGAAGATGCGGGGAGAAAGGAACAAAGGAGGGGAAAAGATCTGTGGGTCAGGGAGGAAGGCAGAAGAAGATAATGGATTGGAATTTGAAATCAATGGCAAGACCACAAGGAAAAGGTAGGGTGCCTTCTAAATGCCCGGCAATATGCCACTCTGATTTATTTTCAGAAATACCCCGCAGCAAAGGTATTTTGCCATTTTGCAAATAAGGAAACTGAGTCCCAGAAAGGTTAAAAGGTTAAGTGACTTGTTCAAAGCCATAGAGGTGATAAAAACAAAATAATCAATCCCCCCTGCCTTCCCTCCCCACGCCCCCCCCCCCAACACACACACACCCGCGCACACACACAAATCCAAAGTCACATAGCTGGTTGGCAAAGGCAAGATTTGAAACTTGATTTCTCTAATCCCAAGAGAGAACAGAAGACAGGAAAGGCTTGGAAAGGGGTGTAGAGGGACAAAAAAAGAGGAAGAACTAAATGGAAGTAGAAAGAATGGAAAGATGGAAAAGGGTGAGGATTGATAAAACAAAACAAGGTAAAATAGGCTCATAGCCCCTTCTTCTGAGGCTCACCGCCGATCCAGAGTCCGGTAACACTGGCGTATCCAGCTCAGAGGTGGCACTTGAGCCCTGCTTGTGCCTCCATTCAAATGAACAAGCAGATAATTTTCCGCTACCAGCAGCTCCAGAGTTCCCACCATATACCTGGAGGGACAAAATTATCAAGAAAGGTTTATGTTTTGCGTTGTGGGAAATGAGAGGGACCTTACTGTAGACTCTACAACCAGCTACTGAGCAAGAAGGGGTTTCTTTCTTACTTTTCCCTCCCTAACCTCCACCCTGGAGCCCTTCAGGCCTTCCATCTCACCTAAATAAGTGTTCCATGACATAGGTATAGTTGGGAATGCTGCTTCTGGGTAGATAACAGGAAGCAAAGAGGATGACAGCATTGAGGCCCTCACCATGGTAACCTGGGAAGGATAAGGGAAAACTGACAGACCTGGTTAGATTGCGGGACTCTGAGGATTGTGAGCCCAGTAACAAGGTTCCAGCTTAGGCATTTTATTCCAGAAGTCACCGTTCTCACCCCTCCACTTATGCTAGCCATTACCTCCATGAGATAGGACTTTCTTATAGGGCTCAATGACAGTCATGTCCACTCGCTGCTCCCTCTGCCCTGTTCGGAAAACCCTCCAGCGATGGCCGTCTTCTCCAGCCACGTCCCACATACAACCCTGGCCCAGCCTTTCAGCTGCCTCACTGGCCCCCAGGCCCTCTGCCTGGGGTAGCTCATCTAAAAGAGAGGGATGGGGAAGGATCAACAGGGCGGAATACACACCTTCAGTGTCTTGTACCTTCCCCAGATGCCTAGAGTTTATTACTCAGCTTCTCATTCCTCAGTTTTTCCCCATGACTCTAGCCCTAGTGTGTTCAATACACCCAGACCCTGGCGGGTTTCAATTTCCTGTGACTCTTTTCCTCACAGTGGTCTTGAGGTAACCTTGACTCTGGTAGGTCAATGGCCCTTGACAGTATCAGTTTTTTTTGTGGATTTTTTTATTTCTTTCTTTCCACACTTCTCCTTGGGTGAGCTCACCTATTCCCATGTTTCAGTTACCACCAATAAGGTGATGACTTCCAAATTTGCCTCTTTAACCCAGGCTTCTCTCTTCACTCCAGACCCATGTCCCTACATGCCTAGACTGGACATCTCCACCTTGTCTGTCTCTGTCATCTCCTAGTCACCAGACACAAAGTGCAGCTCGACGACATGCTCTTCCTCCTCGCTCCCATATTTCCTTTCTTGGTGAATGACCCATCTCCCTAGCTTCCTGAGAGAGAAAATTGTACATCGTCCAAGACTCTTCTCTATCAGCTCTCAAGCCAACTGGACTCCAGATCCTCATTCCTCTACCTCCATTACATTCTTTCCACTATTACTGTCCTGGTCCAGGTTCTTACCTGGCATTAGTACAAGCCTCCTAACTGGCCTCCCTGCCTTCAGTCTGTTTTCCTCCATTCCACCCTCTACACCACCACTAAAGCAAGCTTTCTGTTCTCCCCTACCTTCTTTACTGAAATGGCAATATACTATACCCACTAATTCTCCAAAATCTTTCCATGACAATAGAAAGAGCTGCCTCATTTTAAAAAATAATTGCCTAGTACTTAGTATTCCATTGTATGGATGCACCATAATAGCATTAATATTCTACTGGGGGAGCCCTTAGGTTATTTCCAATCTTTTCAGAGCAATTAAATCTGATCATGTCATTCCCTTGATTAAAAGCATTCAATGACCCCACCCCCCAATTGCCTATCAGATAAAATCTAAATTCCTAGCATGGTAGCGAGGATCTCCATGATTTGACGTTGCTTATTTAACATAGCACTATTTTTTGTCATTCTCTCTTCACCTCTCAGCCCTTCCTATCTGAGTGATATTATATTTTGTTGTTGTTATTTTGTTCCTGGCTCTGGGGACAGCTCCTGATGAAAAAAGTGAAAAGGTGTTTTGTTATTCATATCAAGCCCCTTTTAAAAACATGGGTTTGTATTAATGAGGTGACATTGGAAAGACCCTAAGGATCCTTAGCTGGTTGCCAGGGGAACCATGCATGTGATTAGAAGGTTGGAACTCTGGGGAGGGGAGAGAGGAGAGAGAGGTTGTGTTAATCACTAATGGTCAGTGAATTAATCAGTCATGTCTACATAATGGAGCCTCCATAGCAACCCCATCAGAGGGGTACGAAGAGGCTCTCGGTCAGTTAACGCATGGAGGTGCTAGGAGGGTGGCGTGCCTGGAGAGGGCCTGGTAGCTCTACACCTCTGCCCACTCACCTCGTCCTATGCATCTCTTCCTTCTGGCTGTTCCTCTTATAATAAATCTGTAATCCAGTAAGTAAATTGTTTTCCTGAGAGCTAGTGAGCCATTCTAGCAAATTATCAAACCTGAGAAGGGGGCATTGTGTAGCCAGTTGGTCAGAAACACATGTGACAACCTGGACATGCCACTGGTGTCTGAAGCGGGGGGAGGGGCCACAGTCTGGTGGGACTGAGCCCTTAACCTCTGGGGTCTGTGCTAACTCCAGGAAGTTAGTGTCATAACTGAATCTTAGATACCTGTTAGTGCCTGGGGAGTTGGAGAATTGGTTGATGTGAGGAAAACTCACACGTCCGGTGTCAGAAGTGTTATGAGTAGAGAAGAAACAGTTTTCCTTAATATCTAAATAGTCATGCTTAATCCTTTGAGTTCCCAACATGTCATGCTATAGTCCTAGTTGCTTCTCCAACCACCTGATAAACAACTGCTCAGAATTACCTCCTCTGTGAAGTCCTAGGCAGAGCTGACCTTTTCTTTCTCCCTGCATACATTGTACCCTATACACAGGCAGGTCATAACCTTTAACTGCACTTATTTGTATATATGTTTCTTTCTTACCAAATAGGTAATTCTCTGAGGGTAGGGATCTTATTCATTTTTATAACTCCAATTTTAGCTCAGTGATGGCATGCAACAGTCATCCAATAGTTTTTCTTGATAAACAAAGGACCCCACCCCTCCTCTATTGGACTACTCTCCCATTGGATTTCTAGGTTCTACCTTTCCATCCTCAAGAACTAATTTTACTGACCTTACCTCTCAGTCCCCACCTTATTAGTTCTAACTTCAGTCCCATTAAATCCATCCTGAGCTTTATCACGGGCCTCTACTTCTACCTGATTGTCCCTCAGGTTTCTTTCCCACCTTCCCATTCAAATTCATGTCCACTGTCCAGCTTCTCAGAGTCTGAAGGTGTCTCCAATTCATCTATTTCCAGGTCAGTACTGTCATCAGGAGAGGAAGGCACAGAGTGGATGGGAGAAACACCATTATCTCCAGGCCCCTTCGTCAAATTCAGTCGTAACTCTGGGGCAGAAAGACGTTTACGCATGCGGCGCTGGCCACACAGGGCTAAAGTGCTGGGGGTACCTGGGTAGGGGTAGGGGGACAAAAAAATAGAAAGATGCGTGTGTGTTGGTTAGGATTCTTTGTATGTGGAAGTGATAATATGGGGTGAATTCTAAAGGACTAACACAGGGGACAGTTGGGAAAAGGGAAGTAGAACTGCAAAGGGATGAGGGCGGCATAACCCTCCACTGGATTAGAATCAAGAACTTGAGGCCTAGGTCCTAATTGACCGACCTGCCTGTGAGTCTCTTTTAGGATCGTCGGGGTCTTCAGAAGAGTCAGACTCCTCAGGAAGCAATCTGGAGGGGGAACAAGATGAAAAGGGGGAAGAAACGTAGTCTAAAGGCACAAGCCAGGTATCAATTCCCTCTCCCTGCCATGAGTTTGTTCACACCTCTGCTTTCCTACTCCCACCTCTTCAAGTTCAAATTTGCCATCCTTGCCCTCCATTTGTGACCATCACTTCCATCTCCCAACCTCCCGCTCACCTCCTCACCTGGGGAACTCTTCATCCTGCCATTCCTCCTTCAGCTCCAGTTCTCCAAGTCTCGCGGAGGCTCCTAGTCCTGCTGCTTCTGCATTCTCCCTGACCCTAAGGTCGTCCCCGGCCCCCGGAAGAAAAGATGATCATGAGACAAACTAGGTAATGTCTCGAGGGAACTGGATTATACGTAGGAGACACAGGAATGAAGAATAGTAATTAAGGGGCAGAGCAGAGAACAGGCCTTGAAAAGAACTTGTCTGGTAGATGTTTCTACCATCTTCACCACTTGCTGGAAACAGGTCACCCCGACTGTTAGGGCTAGGAGCAGAGGAAGGGGAGATGTCAAGCTCATCATATTTACCTCTATGGCAGTTGCTCCACCTACACAGTAGGGGTGAGAGGTATTCCACATGACAATTGGCTGGAAGCCGACAGACCTGCCCAGCTGTCACTTGGCAAAGTCCAGGAAGATGGCACCTAGGCAGGCCTGCCTTTCCTCCACCTGCTGGGGAGTGGTCAGGGGAGACCAGGTCTAGGTGGAGGGGAGAGGAAGAAGGTGAGGAGGAAGAGATTTGCTGGGGAAAGCCTGGACCCAAACTTAGTTCTGGGTCGGCTTTCCTGACAGCCATTCTGGAGTATGGGGGTTAGAAAACAGAGAATAGGGGCCTATTTATCAGACACAAAATATAGGAACTTCCTTTACAAAAACACACACTAGGGAATTACCCTGGACTCCTTAGTCACCAGTTCCCATACCATACCAACATTTCCTACCTAAAGCCACCCCATCCCTTCTCTGTAAATTAATTCCTACAGCTTTTTTTTTTTTAGGTTGTAAAAGTAAAATTTTTTATTTTGATTGATTTCTCAATAATTCCTACAGCTTTATCGCCTCTAGGAACCCAAGATTAGACGTGGTGAGAGTTGGATGGTGGGGAAAGTCCCGAGTAGTCACTTTTTGTTTCCAGCCAAGTTAGCTAAGGTGTTACTTACCCAAGAGCCAATGTCTTTTCTCCTGCCTCTTGTGTAGTTCCCATCTTCACAAATGTGCCCCCTTCTTTAAACACCTGGAGTCCTCAGGGAATTGGTCGCCCCAGCTCTCCAACAATTCTCTACCCTTTCTCTGCCTCAGCTGTTGTTGTCTTGCCTCTAAGGAGGAAGGTGTGGAAGGGAGGTAACCTCACTCTCAAACAGGTTTTGCCACCTCCCTTCTCAATGAGCAGGTTTGCCCAAAAGAAAAACCATGCCTGTGTGGGGGTGGACTTTGGGGGAGGAGAGTACATTTTCTTTTCTTTTTTTAATTGATGTTTTTAGAGAGAGGAATGGGGAGAGAGAGAAACATCGATTGGTTGCCTCCAGTATGCGCCCCAACTGGAGATTGAGCCTGCAACCTAGGTATGTGGCCTGACTGGGAATCGAACCCACCACCTTTTGGTGTATAGAACGCTCCAACCAACTGAGCCACACCAGCCAGGGCGGAGAGTACATTTTTTTAAACGGCCAGTCATGAAGGGCTCTTGGGAGGCAATTTGCTCTTCTTTCTAGACTCCTTATAATCTGGTAGCTGCTCTTAAAAAAAAAAAAAAAAAAAAGGCAATGGTAAAAACCATTTGGTTGTAGGACTATCTTGGTACACCTTTTAGAGCATAAGCAAAATCAGCGACACAGGAGTATATTATAAGGATGGTTCTAGAAGAAGAAACAAATGGAAGGAAAGGCTGAGGACGGGGAGAGCTAAAAGACTGTTGCTCCTTATTCCCCACAAGAGTCAACTGAAGGAAGATATTAAGTACAACAGGAAGAAAGGAGAAAATATTGAGGAGGCTAAAACAATTACCTGATGGAAAAGCCTGATTGTAGTTATAAAAAGAGACACTAAGACCCCAACCAGGAAAAAATTATTTAATACTTTAACAAAATGCAAAATAAAGTACCCAAGTTACAAAACATAAATTCCTTTGGTTCAGTAATCACACCACTATTTTTATCTTCCAATGGCTACACACATCATCCCCTCCAAGTGAAGTCACACGGTTGTCCCCTTCGCACTGAAGACATCATGCCAAAACCATCACATACCTCACTATTCAGTGAAACTGTTGGCAACTTACATGGAATAGAGCCTGGGGGTAGGAAAAGGGGGAACAGGTTGGTGTGAAGAAAAAAGGGAACTACACATGCAGAACGAGTCAGTGGGAGGGAGCTCTTTGTTGAATCACTATGGCATGAATCAGACCCCTGTACATGCTACATGAGGCTGAGTCCCTCGGTACAATCACATATAAATACAGACAATCCAGTGACCCTGAGCACTCCCAGGGAAAACAGAACTTCTAGTCTAGATCCTTAGTTTTATTGATGGGGAACATGAGACCTAGCGATGAAGCGTGTGGCCAAAGAACACACAGCTCATGGCAGTCCCTATTAGGACTCCATGTTTCCTTGTAATCAGACCAAGAAGAGAATGACATGGACAAGAGATTGACAGACCCGCTAAGGCAGGGGACAGAGCTGAGGCTCTCAGTGCAGTTCTGCCATCTTTGGGGAAGGGCGCCCACGAGGCCTTTCTGAGCGCCTCCTGAACGCTCGGGGTCTTTTGAGTTTCTTCAGGCTCCCTGTGGCTTTGGGACAAGGGACCCAAAGGAACTGAGAGCCAGGCCACATGATCAGGGCAGAAGATAATGGCCTCTAACCTGCTCCCCCAAAACCCTAAAAGAGTCACAATAAGTTCAGGAAAAACATTTAGCCATCTCAGAATCAGACACCATTACCTAATGGGGCAGAAAGAGGAATCATGGAGCTGGAAATCTAAAGGCTGAAAGCTGGAATAAGAGTTTCCAAAGCACTCTATTTTCTGCCGAGCTTAGAGTAGGCATTCCATCAATACTTCAATCAATGAGGGGACAAATGGATACATGGAGACAATGAAAGTTTGGTTCCATGGGAGATACTGGTTCTGTGAGAGCCTTGCTGAGGGCACTGTTGGGGTGCACATTCTTTTTGTGCCACGCTGCTGGAACAGCATAGGAGTTACATCGTACCCCTGGGGAGTCAGTGCAGAGCTAAAGAATTAAATTAAATAACAGAATCTGACTGGGGGAGGTTGGGGGGGAAGGTAGAAAGCCATTCCTAAAGCAGCTGCTTTCTCTTACTTCTTTCTCCTCCCAGATTTACGAGAACAGGACAAGTGCACCAGACCCTGGAGCAATGAAGACAGAATTGCTGAAGCCTCTCAAAACATGCATTCGAGGTGGTTCAAGCAACCCCGCCCGCCGCCCTCTCCCCTCCCAATAGTCACTTCTTGGACAGGAAGGCAGCGGTGGATTGTGACAGCGAGATCTGGCTGCACTTCTCAAAGATGGCCTCGGCTGAGAGTTTAGGCAGCCCCTGATCCAGAGGGCACTCATCCACCAAGCTGTTCATGGGTGTGGGGGGCAATGGAGGCTCCTCTTCATCTTGACTCAGTCCAGGAATCAGGGAGGTACCTGCCCTGTCCGATTCCTTGTCCACCTGCTCCCTGGCAGCCTCGGGGTGCCCCGAAGGGATTGTCATGGAGTCAAAATATGCTGACAGGGCTTCCTGGAGCAGAGGCAGAAGTTTCTTTCGAGAGACCTGGGTGTTGCCTTGAAGATAGGCCTGGAGGTTAGGGTGAGTGCTTGGGGCAGGGGTCAGCTTCAGGGCCGGGGAGTGCGACTGTTCCAGGGCTCCACAGATCTAAAGGGGCGACAAGACGGGGAAATGGTATTTCAGGTGGTGAAGCAAACTGCGGAGGCAAACTGCTGAGGCTTCTAAGTTGGGGGCTTCTCTTACAGAGGAGAAAACATTTTTAAATCACCCAGAGTTAAGCTTTATTGCTGGCAACAAAAGGCATATCAGCTAATATACATAGTATTTTATTTATTTATTTATTTTGTAGTTAATCCTCACCCAAGGATATTTTTTCTCCCATTGATTTTTATTTATTTTATTTTTTTAATATATTGATTTTTTTTTACAGAGAGGAAGGGAGAGGGATAGAGAGTTAGAAACATCGATGAGAGAGAAACATTAATCAGCTGCCTCCTGCACACCCCCTACTGGGGATGTGCCCGCAACTAAGGTACAGGCCCTTGACTGGAATCGAACCTGGGACCTTTCAGTCTGCAGGCTGACGCTGTATCCACTGAGCCAAACCGGTTAGGGCTCCCATTGATTTTTAGAGAGTGCAAGGGAGGGGGAGAGACAGAGAGAAACATTGATGTGAGAGAGACACATTGATTGGCTGCCTCCTGCACATGCCCCGATGGGGTCAGGGATCGAGCCTGCACTTCAATTTAGGTACGGGACATGTACCTATACTGAGGTCAATGGAAGGACAGAGGCAGAAAAAAATGAATAGATCAAAGTGAGGGTGGGAGGTATGCCAGGCATGGTGCCAAATCTGGCCATTTATCAATACTGTATTACCTCATTTAATCCTCACAATTGCTTTATTAGACTGGTATCGCTATTACCCTCACTCACAGGTAGGGAAACTGAGGCTTAGATCAGGTGATTTCCTAACATCATAGTATGAAGGAAGCAAAGCTGACACTGAAACCCAGGTCGGTCACCAAAGCTGGTGTTCTGAATCACTGTGTTCCTAAAACAGGAGGAAGAGAGGCAATGGTAGGGCTGACTGTGAGAAGAGGGCCCATTTCCCAGCACCAGGCAGCCTGTGCCATGGCAGTGCCATCACAGCTCCAGGGAGCAGCACCGAGGGGCTGTGGTCGGGAGAAGGGGGAGAGATACAGGAAGGTGGAGAGAGGCACTTCTACTGGCCAAAGTACCTTTTCCTTTATGGCATGATTAGTAGGAGCCACCTTTTACCCAGTGTTTACTTTGTGCCCAGCAATGTACTATTCATATATTATGTTTAATGATCACATCTGACTAATTAGGAGGTAATATTATGCTCTTTACAGGCTCAGAAGTCAACTGACTTGCTTTAGCTCAAAGAGAAAGTAAGTGGCAAATCTGGGACAGAAAAGCACGTCTATTTGCCTTTAAAAACTGTAGTCTTTCCACAGTGCCCAACTTCCTTCCACTGAATGAAGTTACACTCGCTTCCTCGAGGAGGAGACAAAGGCAAAGAGAGGTGTGGGAAAGGGCGGGCGTACCTTTTACAGGCTCAAAGGATTACCTGGCTGTATTCAGACCAGTCTTCAGCGGTCATCACACAGCCCAAACAACCCAAAGAGGCCTGGACTGCCGTAGGTCCACTTTCAAATTCTTCCCGGGGCTAATGAGTAACCAACAGAGGAAAAGAAAGGGGAGGAGCTGGGAAAGGGGCCAAACGGAAGCCCAGGCAAGAAAACAAACCTGCTCCCGTCACTTCCCCACAGTCAGCCTATACAGTGATTACTCCCCGCAGGGTGAGTAGTAGAAAAAGTTCTTTCCCCTGTCCAGGGCGATCGGGTAAAGAGAAAGGAATTGACTTTCAGGGGTGAGGAGTTCATGATTCAACAAAGAATCAAGTTTAACTCCAGATTCGTTTACATTCATTTTTAACCTGATTTTCAGATCTATTCTAAGTAGGAACTCCATTTCTAATTCTTTTTGGAGTCTCTCTTTCTCAACAACAATATGATTAGGGGAATTCACATAGACATAGATGGAAAAAGTGGGAGGGGAGATTCTGGAAAGAGGTCAAGGGGCCTGTGTGTAGATGTAAGAACCAAGGAGCGGTCTTCACAGCGCAGGGCAGCGTGTGCAGGCAGAGCTCCGCAGAGCCCTCGGGCTGGAGGAGAGCGAGACTCACCGTCGTTCGGAGTGCTGCATGGGGACAGAAGACAGCCAGCTGCCGCACTGGCTCGTTGTGCGCGTTGAAGAAGATAGTCATGGCGACCAGGGCGTCATAGCTGTGAGCCTGGCAGAAAGCATGGAGGTCTGCAAGGAGGCCAGACCTCTGCAGGAAGGCCTGAAAGAGAAGAGACGGGCAGGGATGAGGGCTACAGCTGGAACCCCCTTGTCACCACCAACAAAAATGCTTATGAAGAGTTTCTTCGCATCTTAACCAGGGACTTGTACTCCATAAGAAAGGGTACCTAGTACTTACTCTGTGCTATCTATGTGCTGGGAGGCAGTGTGTAGAATGGGCAGAACACAGGTTTTGGGTTCAGACAAAATTGATTTGAAAATCAGCTCTATTACTTATTAGCTATTGATCAAGGAATGATATTAACCTCCCTGGACTTAAGTTTCCTCATCTATAAAATGAGCATAAAACATCTACCAAGCATGACTGTTTTACTAGGGAAAATGATAATGTTTCCGATCCTTGGCTGTGATTATGGTACTTGGTAAGCCTTTTACATTCTATTGTTTGTTTCCCAAACTAGATTATGAGTCATAAGGGAAGAGGTCATGCTATTTTGTTTTTATTTAATTATTTAGTATTTTTATATAGCATTTAGTAGAAAGCTGTGCAGACTATGAGAATATATGTTCAGATCAGGCTGTCGAAGGATTTAAACCAATATGATATGGAACCAGGAATTAAAATACCATTATCATAGTTATATTCATTTACCCATTCAACAAAATTTACTGAGCATCCACTTTGTGCTAGGTCCTGTCAAAGGTGCTGCAGGTATAGCAGAAACAAAAGAAATAGGGCCCTTGCTCTGGCAGAGCTGATAAACGAACAGAGGAGTATAGACGATAAACAAGGAAACCACGAACTATGATTATTTCAGTGTGTTGAGTGCTAGGAAGAAAGTAAGATAACGGTTAGAGATTTTTGAACAGGGAGGATATTATTTCAGTTAGGATGGTCAGGAAAACACTCTTTAAAAATATATATATTTTTATTGATTTGAGAAAGGAAGGAAGAGGGGGAGAGAGATAGAAACATCAATGAGAGAGAATCATTGATCAGCTGCCTCCTGCATGCCCCCTACTGGGGATCGAGCCTGCAACCTGGGCATGTGTCCTGATAGGGAAGCAAACCGAAACCTCCTGGTTCAGAGGTTGATGCTCAACCACTGAGCCATGCTGGCGAGGCTGGAAAAGCCTCTTAAAAGAGGAGACTCCTGAGCTAAGACCTGAATGATAGGAAGGAGCCAGCTCCTGTCAAAGGGAAAAGCAAGTACAAAGGCCCTGAGTTGGGAATGAACTTAATGATTCCAAGGAACGGAAAGGGAATCAGTATGGCTGCTGTACTGTGAGTGGGGGGAGCAGGGCTGGAGTGAAGTCAGAGAGAAAGACAGGGGCCAGACCAAGGTGGGCCTTCTAAACCATAATAAGGCCTTTACATTTTATTAGAAGTGCAATGAAAAGCCAGTAAAGGAAGGGGGTGATATGATCTAAGTTACTATTAGTGTCATCACTCTGGCTGCTGTGGAGAGAATGGTTTGTAGGGGTACAAAAGTGGAGGCTGGTAAACTGTGGGGGCTAGTATAGTAATACGGTGAGAGACAATGACTGTGGGAGTTACAAGAGCTGGAGAAACACAGATAGGTACAAGGTATATGTGGAGGAGAGTCAGACGTGAGGGGCAAGGTTATCTACATAACTGAAGGTTTTCTTTCCCCACCTACATCTTGCTCTTACCTCCAAATCCATATATATTGCACTAATGGCCACCTTGATGCCTTGTCTGAAAATGGTCTTCTGGTCCTTTCTCAGCATCTGCTCAGTGGTCAGGCCTAGAAAATAGATGTGAGACTATGAGTCAAAAAAGAGAGCCCAGGGTCCCAAGACTAGGAAGAGGAAGACACCAAGGTGGGTCATGGGAGAGGAAAAACACAGCCTTTCTTTTGGGCAATAAAAACGGCTAACTGAAAATGTGATTATATGATAAAAATTACCTTCAATTACTGGGTCACAACAGTTACCTTTAGAGCAAGGGACTTGGAGAGAAGGGTACATGTAGTACTTTACTTTCAACTAGAGGCCTGGTGCATGAAATTCGTGCACAGGAAGGGTCCTTAGGCATGGCCAGTGATCAGGGCCCTTTGTGGGGCAACTGGCGGGGCGATCAGGGAGCCCCCACTGGCCTCTGCCTTGGTTGGCCTGGGGCCTGCAGGCTGAGGGCAGCTCCTGCGTTGAGCATCTGCCCCCTGGTGGTCAGTGCACGCCATAGCAACCAGTTGTTCCGCCATTCGGTTGATTTGCATATTAGGCATTTATTATATAGGATGATGAGAGAGAATCATTGATTGGCTGCCTCCTGCACACCCCCTACTGGGGACTAAGCCCACAAGCTGGGCATGTGCCTTAACTGGAATCGAACCCAGGACCCTTCCACAGGCTGACGCACTGTCCACTGAGCCAAACTGGCCAGGGCTATTTATTTTTTTAATCAGGAGGTAGCTGGGTGGAAAATTATGTAAGTTTTTTTGTTCTCTTTCTTTGTCCTTGGTATAGTCACCCTGTTTCTTCTGCTGCCCTAACCAATTATCTAGATCTCAGTCTGATAACTTAGCATTCCCTCAGCATATTTTATTTATAAGTCTATATTCTCTGATTAGATTGAAAACCTCCGAGACTTTAGTATAGTCTTCCTATCTTCCCCAATAGCCCAAACAGAACAATCCAGTAAATGACTAATTAGTTCCTGATCAGATGCACACACTATCTCATTTATCTCCAAAGCTTAAGCCATTACCCAAGCTCTGAAATTGTTTTGATGGTGTTTTCTCCTGTAGGAAGGAGAGAAGTCAGTTTAACACTTCATACCTGACACATCAAACTTTGCCTTTTGCAGAGAATCAAAGATGTCATTTCTCTCGGGCAGATCTGTGAAGAGGGCCTCCAGCTTCTCCACATATTTCTTGTCCTTTGGGGTTGCTTTTCCAATTTTAAGGTCCATGTTGACACAGTCCAGGATGATTGTTGCTGTGGAAAAGGAAGACGGCAGAACTCAAATCTTGTGGCCCTCCATTTATGACCATGGAAACACACATAACCCTCCAAATAGTCCCAATACAGAGGAGACTGTATGCAAACTCACTGAAAATAAAACAAGAAAATGGGGTTATGCCCTAAGACCTCCCAAATCGAAACGAAAATGCAGGCAGGGAAATGGGGAAACAGTAGAAAGAAAACCCAAGCATCTCAATCCTTGGAGACTGTGAGACCTAGTAAGAGAAAGATGACTTCTCTTCAGTAGGCCAAATTCTAGTAAAGAACCTTTTTTTGTTTTGCTGTTAATCCTCACCTGAGAATATTTTCTCCATTGATTTTCGGAGAGAGTGGAAGGGATGGAGGTGGAAGAGAGAGAGCGAAACATTGACATGAGAGAGACACATTGGTTGCCTCCAGCACATGCCCTAAAGAGGCCAGGGAATGAACCTGCAACCCAGGTACATGCCCTCGACTGGGAATCAAACCCGAGACTCGCTGGTCGATGGGCCAACGCTCTACCACTGAGTCACACCAGCCAGGGACCAGTAAAGACAGTCTAATCCAATTCTTTTTTTCCCCTCTTTCTCTTTTTTACAAATGGAGAAAAAGAGAACAAGAAAGGTTAAGAGATTTGCTCAAGGTCACATAACTACTTCCTGAGCAGAAATGGTACTGGAATCGTTTCCTGCTTCTTTGGTTACCTCTTTTCTTTCTCTTTCTTTTTTCTTTTTTTAAATGGTATCTGAGTGTCCTACACCATTTGGGTAAACTTTCCCCTCATGGTTACACATATAATGGGCTGCATTTATTTATTTTTTATTGATTTTTTACAGCGAGGAAGGGAGCGGGATAGAGAGCTAGAAACATCGATGAGAGAGAGACATCGATCAGCTGCCTCCTGCACACTCCCTACTGGGGATGTGCCCGCAACCAAGGTACATGCCCTTGCCCGGAATCGAATTTGGGACCCTTGAGTCCGCAGGCCGACGCTCTATCCCCTGAGCCAAACCGGTTAGGGCTGGCTACCTCTTTTCATTACATAGTGCTGCTGAGGCAGCTTCTAGGTCCGTTGCCCCTGCTTCCCTTCTGCATTCTCCAACAAAGTATCCCACAGCCTTTTAATACCTAATTGCCCCCCTGAAAGAATCCCAGCCTTCAGTATGGGCTGACTGGCTCTGAGAGGGTATGGTCAAGCTGGAAGAATCTAGACTTTTCAACTGTCCCTTCTCTGGGACAGGAATGGAGGAACTACCGAGTCAGGCCCCAACCAAGCCATCCTCACCATGCAGAAGGGCTGCAGTTTGCCTGTCCAAGATCTCTGGTGCCCCCTGCAGGATTCTCTCGGTCACCAGGGTAGCGCAGGACCCCACCAGCTCAACTGAAACAGGGCAGGGAGGGCAGCGCTTCTGCTCGATGGGCCGATGGTCTAGCACCTCTGCCACTGCTGCCTCTAGCGCTGCGTCACTTCTGTGTGGGGAAAGGCGGTGTGGGAAAAAGAGAGACACAGGTAGGTAGGAGCACTCCAGCTGCTTCTAACCAATCTCCACCTCACTCAGAAAGGAAAATGCAGGCGTCTTAGGTAAACACTTAGACCTCTGGTCACTTCTACCTCTGCCTCACTCCTTTCAATTCTTTTCTTTCATGTTATAACTGAAGTCATCTTTAAATAGTGTATACGTGATTTTGGCAAAGTGTCTGCTACTCATACCTTATCCACATATTTGAGGTCCTTTAGGGGTGCCTTTCCAATTGACACCCTTGATACCCAACATCTAAATTGCTCCTGTTCCCTCAGTTCACTTAATACCCAAATTCCATGCACGTCACCAGATCCTGTGGCTTCTATCTCAATTTCTATTTATTTCCTCCTTTTCAACCCTCTGCTACTGCCTTATTCTAGACCCTCAATATCTCTCATCTGGATTATTCCAATAGTTTCCTAACCAAACACCTTCTTCCAATCTTAGGCCTTCCGAAGCTGTCCTCCACAATGCTGCCTGGATGATCATTTGAAAAATGCAAATCTGATTCTGTTAGGGCCTGGAGTAAATATAATTAGCAACAGCTCCCCACTGCCCTAAAACAAAGTCTGATCTCTTTGGCAGGGTCTCCATGATCTGGCCTGTCTACCTCTCTAGTCTTATCTTTTTCCATGTCTTATTTCTCACTCATATTTTATGCTTCAGCCATGCAAAACAAATTCCGGTTCCCCCAACTCACCATGCTATTTCATGCCTGCCTGCCTTTGCTTGAATTAATCACTCTCTCTGGCTGGATGCTTTTCCTCACTACCTTACCTCCCCATTCCCTGAGTAAACAGTCCTCTTTCAAGACTGAGATCAAGGGTTAACTCTGTTAGGAAACCTTTCCTGACACCCTCTACTGCCCCCTGGTATATTTAACCACTCCATCCTTCCTCACCTGCTGTCCCCTAGAGTGATGGTTGTCCCCTACCTCTAAGCCCCTTACAGTGATCTGTTTGCCTAGTTCCCTCTTCCTGACTGAAAGCTTCTTGAAAACAGGGGCTCTGTCTCACCTTCATCATCTAAACAGGAGTTTATTAATGAGTGAATGGACAGCTACCCTCTGTCAATGTCCTGCTATAACCAGTGTGCTCAAGGAAAAAACACATTTTAATACCAGCAGGAGCCAGATAGACTTACTTATGTTGCTTTGTTGGCAGTTTTTTCCAGTCTTAAATTAGGGATGGAATTATTATAGGTGTGTACCTTTATTAAAGACTAATAAGATACTGTCTTACGTAGAAAATAATTTTGCTAACTTTTTAAAAATTAAAAAGAGTTGGAACCATTATTCAAAAGTTTCTATTATAATCAATCTGCCACGAAATCTTAAAATATAATAATACCAAAGGCAGACTTAAATGATTTCTGAGTTATCTTTTAATTTGAACTCTTCAAGTTTCTACTGGCAAACTGGAGAAGCGATAATATTTTCTATATCCAATATGACCCATCAATCACCATTAGCACGTGAGATTCCCAAGAGCAAAAATTCTTCCTCTCTTTAGATCTTACTCATCAGAGCCCAACATGGCACATGATTCAGTACCAGCTTAATGTCCTTCCACATACCTGGGTAAGACATGGTGGTCAACAAGGATTAGCGTGAGTTGGCCAGCCTGGTGCAACGTGTGGAGGTCAATCTCATCCCGGAAAATTAAGAGGGATTCTGGAATGTGAATCTCCTGAAGGAGGAAGACGCTGTCACCTCGCAGAGGTAGCTCAGAACGTTTTATATTTAAAACTGGAACAAAGACATCCTTAGTCTCAGTCGTCTGGAGAGGAAAGTGAAAAGAAGGTATGGCAATGTTTTGGAACAGGCAGGAAAAGTAACAAGACAAGTGGGACCAAGGAAGACATGATTTTGGGTGAGTTACTGCTCTTCTCAAAGCCACAACTACCAAGTCAATAAGAATAAAAGGACAACCCTTGCCCTTTCTCATTCTTAGCAACAACATGAAGGTCAACAAGAAAACTCATGCCCTAGCCGGTTTGGCTCAGTGGATGGAGTGTCAGCCTGCAAACTGGGGGGTCCCGGGTTCGATTCCGGTCAAGGGCACATGCCCAAGTTGTGGGCTCGATCCCCAGTGGGAGGCTTGCGGGAGGCAGCTGATCAATGATTCTCTCTCATCATGGAAGTTTCTATCTCTCTCTCTCCCTCTTCCTTCCTCTCTGAAATCAATAAAAATATATTTAAAAGAAAACTCATGAAAAAGAGCTAGTTCTAGAGATGCTGCAGAGAAGGGATTATCAGCCTTCAAGAGCTGACGTGGACATGAGGCATACACATTAGATTATGGATACCCACAAGTTACTCAATAATAAACTCTTGCCGAAACCGGTTTGGCTCAGTGGATAGAGCATCAGCCTGCAGACTGAAAGGTCCCAGGTTCGATTCCGGTCAAGGGCATGTACCTTGGTTGCGGGCACATCCCCAGTAGGAGATGTGCAGGAGGCAGCTGATCGATGTTTCTCTCTCTCATCGATGTTTCTAACTCCCTATCTCTCTCCCTTCCTCTCTGTAAAAAATCAATAAAATATATTTAAAAAAAAAAAACTTAAAAAAAAATAAACTCTTTGAATATTGCTTTATGGTTTACACATTCTTATTTTTGAAAATTTGTGAGTTAATTTGAGCCAAACTGATGATAACTACCAGGAAGCACGATCTCAAATGCTCCCTGTTTACACATTCTTCAAAATACGTTTACTCATTTGATCCTCACAGCAACACTGTAAATTATTTCAGACTTTAGACTCGGAAAAGTTAAGGGATTTAACTTACCCAAGACTAGATGGTGTTAAGCAGCAGAGCTGAATCTTGAATCCAAATCTTTTCATTCTAAGAGATTCTGTTCCTAAGTACTCACCTTTGCCAGGTAAAATGCCAAGGCGAGAGCAGACACCATGGAGTCCAAGTCACAGGCTTCATTTCCCAGCACGACATGCAGCGGCTGGGACTCCTGGAAGGAGAATGGGAAACTAGCAGAAGCATCTACGCATTTGCGTTTGCCTGGCACTCACGTAGGGCTTCACACGCATCCTCTCCCTGATTCCCACCGAGGAGGTGAGCAGGTGGATCTTACGGGTCCTCATTTCATGGACGAGGACATCGACTCAGAGGGCATCTGTGTTTTGGCAAAGCTTTGAGCATTCCACACAGATCCAGTTAGTGGGGAAGCGCTCTTTTCTCTCCGCTACACTGTCTCCTTGACTGTTAATTTACAAAAAGCCAGCAGTAAATAATTCTGATTTCTGATGTTGCTTTGGGCACTTGAGAAGTCAAAGGTAAGCTGATGTATGAGTATTCAAGCCATGGTTTATTTTTCCCCCATTTTCAAAACAGGGAAAAGAATCCTTAATACTTCAAAAAATAAGATCCAGTCCATTACCTAGTTGTCCATAAAAACTTCCCCAAGGAACCTCCATGATAACCAGATATAACCAACACCTCAACCAGAGAAACAGGCCACTTTCCCAGTAGGTTGAGCTTAAAGCAAGCACAGTTGTTGCTGCTGGAACTTTTACTTTACACTTTGAAAAGTCCAGCTGCTGATAAGAATGGGGTAGGGAGGGTTATTATTAACCTTGTTCCCCTGATTCTCCCTAGCTATCAGAGTTTTAAAGAAAATACATTACAATCTACAGTGCCCACAACAGCAGAGACTAGGGTTTGGTTTAGTTTAGTTCTGAGACATTTAGAGTGTGCCATGTACTATTCTATAGCTTAATGTGCACAAACTAAAATTTAATCCTCAAAACCACCTGAAGAGGTAGGTATTTTAAGAGTGATGATTTCATTATAGGTGTGAGCATTCAGCCAGATGAAATGAGACCTTAAAGTCTATGGTTCAGCTTAGGGCACAAGAATTCTCTCTTACTAATTTGCTTTTGAACTTCTCTCTCAATCTGCTTCTGAGGGACGAAGGGATAAGAGAACAAATGAGAAACACTAGTTATGGCAGAGTTTCTTAATTTCAGCTCTATCGGCATTTTGCACTGGTAATTCTTTGTTGTGGGGGCTATTCTGTGCCTTGTAGGATGTTTGGCAGCATCTCTGGATTCTACCCACTAGATGCCTATAGCACCCCCAGTCATGGCAATCAAAAATGTCTCCAGACTTGCCAAATATTCTCTAGGAGCAAAATCACTCCTGGGAACCAGGCTGGCATGGCTCAGTGGTTGAGCATCGACCTATGATGTTGGGGCACATGCCCGGGTTGTGGGCTCGATCCCCAGTGTGGGGTGTGCAGGAGGCAGCCAATCAAGGATTCTCTCCCATCATTGATGTTTGTCTCTCTCTCTCCCTCTCCCAAATAAATAAAAAAAAATATTTTTTAAAAATTACTCCCAGGTAAGAACTATTGGGTTATAGAAAGGTAAAGTTCCAAACATTCTGGCTGCTTCTATCAGGGAAGATTTGCTAAATGGAAGTTTAGAACAGTAGGACAGGAGTTCAGAGGAGCAAAACATAACAAGGAGCAGTTATCAAGTAATTAATTTTAGGGGGGAAAAGAATCTAGAATCATCTTCCCTGTATTGGCTAATCCCCCCCCACACACACACACACACATACACACACACACACTCCTCCACACCATTCTCCCAGAAAGAGACAATTTTAGAAGACTTCTGGTGGTATGAATTGCTTGATCTCATAATTAAGCTCTTGTTTTTAAACTACCCTCTTTCCCACCTCCTATTCCCACTCCTAGAGAGAAGTACAAAAGGCAGGGGTCATCTGTCAAGATTTTGGGCAAAGGGTCTCTGGGGAAAGTTTGCCCTGAGATTCTCCCCTGCGCCCATTTATTTAAGCCTAATTCAACAGGGTGGCAGCCAAGACCCATTCATACTAAGCAGCATGGCAGATTCTTTTCAATATTAAACTCTTTCCTAACACAATATGAGGATTCTGTGCCTAAGACCCCCCTGCTAGAGGCACTTTCCTGACTTGTGATTCCTCCTCCTGATACCAGAGAAGGCCCCTCTGTTCCCTGGACACCAAGAACTGCCCAGATGGCAGTGGACCAGAGTGACAACAAAGCACTTGAGATAGTGGCTGCCCAGATAACTTGCTCACTGAACCAGTAAGGGGGGCACAATGTTCTCTAGAGGGAACCATAGAAACACAGCGGCCAGATGGTCCTGATTCTGGAGCAAAAAGTGAGAGGAACAGAGAAAAGGCAGAGCAAGGGGGCCCCGGCCGGGTGGCTCAGTGGATTGGAGTGTCATCTTGAACACCCAAAGATTGTGGGTTCGAGTCCCAGTTCAGCGCACGATGGGAGGCAACTGATTGATGTTTCTCTCTCTCTCATCAATGACTCTCTCTCTCTCTCTCTCAAAAAAGGGGGGGGCAGAGCAAAGGGGAGAGACCTATTGTGGGCACGAAGAGGCCCTTTCTAAAACTCACATTCGTGCTGCTTCATTTCAGTGGCAGAGGAATCAGGGTCAGTCAGATCGTCAGCGTCGAGAGAAGGCTAAGCAGCAGAGCAGAAAGCAGGGACTAAATACAACTTCATGGATGAGGTGAGGAAAAGTGATTTCCAGAGGAAGACGGGTAACCAGCCCCTTGCACTCAGCCCCGTGCGGACAGCAGCCCAAAGGAACGAATACAAAAGGAACACTGGGGAACCTTTAGCTAATCTGGGAACAGGAGTGGCCAAGGGAGGTGGCGGCGTTCCTTTCCCCGTCAGCACCCACCGTTCCGCAGCCTGACTGGTCTATTCGCCGCCCGAAAACCACCCTGTGCACATTCCCAGCTCTGCCCTTGGTGCTGCTGCTCTGCTCAAAGCTGCCGTTTGAAAAGACCACAGACGGTTGAATCTCAGCCCTGCTTCTTACTTGCTGCAGGACCTGGCCTCCCTAAGCCTCGCTGTTTTCACTTGAAAAATCAAGACAATCCTACCATCAATTCTATGAAGTGGTAATGAGCATTAGATGAGACGGCACAGTAAGTGCCCGCTCTGGAGTAGTAAAGATGCGCTCCCTTCCGTCTCCTTCTCTGCCCCTCCCTGTCCAGTCAGGCCCTCCGGGAAGCCCCCTCTCTCTACGGAGCCTTTCCCGATACCCAGGCCAGAGCAACCCTCTTCCTCTAAACCTCCCACTGCCAACATGAGGCTCTCCTATGGAGCTTAACGTCCACTTTCAGGAGCTCACCGCCTTTTCCTGGATACGTCCCAAATCCGTGACATGGCTACAAGGTAGGTGACCGTATGCTTTGTTGTTCAAACCAGGGCACTTTTTGAGAAGGAAAGGGGGTTGCAATCAATGATGATGTCAGAATAAACTAAGACGGTCCTGGGCAGAGCAGGTGTATGGCAGCCCAACATATAAAGCAACATTCTCCTCCTCATTTAGGAAAGACACAGTCTTCTCACCCCATCCCCCAACAGCTGTCAGCACAAGCCCGACAGCCTCCGTTTTCTGACCATGGCGGGAGAGTTCAGAGCAAACACAGCTATACTTAGAGCATGAGGAAACCTGAGCTGCCAATGGAAGAAATACAATCTGAGAGCCACAAGTAAATATAAACTTTTTCTTTCTTAAAAAACAAAAACAAACAAACAAACACACCCACTACTGAAATGTTATATCCTGGTGTCCACTGTGGCCTCAGTGGGGGGAGAAGAGATGGGTTCCAGGGCTGGCAAAGCAAACCACTCCCTTTCTGAAGCTGAATATGGTCTGAGGCCTACTCTACAAAATAGTTAAAGAGGGATGGGGGGGGGGGGGGGGAGACAAGGAGCCAGAGATAGAGAAGCCCTCCCAGCAGAGAAAATGGGACTAGTCCTGGCGCCAGGACTATAAATTCCAAAGGATGGCCAGCCACTCCTGGTCCCGGCCTCATGCCTGAGAAGTACACACAACACAGATTACCCGCAGGCTGCTGGCCGAACACCTGACCTCGAATGCAGCCCCACCCTGAAGCAAAAATTTTCCCCCACTTGGCATGAGTGGGGATTTCTTTTAAATGGAACACACTCCTGTCATTGTGGCAGAGGCTGTAGAAAATCCCTCTGGTATCAAATGCTAGAAATATGGTATCAACAAGAGAGTTGTCTGGGTTATCAGCCATTTCTATATTACATAAAAGTAAGCATTAACTGAAACACTCAAACTTAAGTGTCTCTAAATCATACTTTCTTTTTATTTTTAAAGATTTTTATGGATTTTTGAGAGAGGGAGGGGGAGAGAGAGAAACATCGATGGGTCGCCTCCTGAATGTTCCCTGACCTGGGATCGAACCCGCAACCTGGGTAGGTACCCTGACCAGCAATTGAACCTGCCACCTTTTGGTGTACGGGTGACCCGCCAACCAGCTGAGCCATCCGGCCAGGGTTAACTCACACTTTCTTTACACAAGAAACAAGTGCGGCCTCTGGGGAATTAAACGGGGAGAGAAAAAAGGATCTTTTTCATTTCATATCCATATTGTATTTTAAAATGTTCACAATGGCCCTAACCGGTTTGGCTTAGTGGATAGAGCATCAGCCTGCGGACTCAAGGGTCCCAGGTTTGATTCCGGTCAAGGGCATGTACCTTGGTTGTGGGCACATCCCAGTGGGGGGTGTGCAGGAGGCAGCTGATCAATGTTTCTAACTCTCTATCCATCTCCTTTCCTCTCTGTAGAAAATCAATAAAATATATTTAAAAAAAAATGTTCACAATGTACATTTACAAATTCTGTAATTAAAAGCAATCTAAGCTACTGGTGTCCACCTGTATGTCCGGCCCCAGTTCATCCACTAACCTTCCTAGAGTCTAATTTTCTCATTTCTCCTGGCCCAGGCTAGGCTGTGTGATGATGAGAGCTCTAAGATACCGCCTCACCTTCCCAAGTTCAAGGAAAAATTGAGATCTAGGTCTTGCTCCTTGAGGGATGATTGCTGGCAGATCAAGGTCAGGATACCAGTAATATTAGAAAATTTCAGGAGAGAACCAAGATGGCGGCATAGGTTAACGCTGGAGTTTGCTGCTTTGAACAACTACTTCAAAAGTGAAACCAAAAAACGGAAGGGACATCACCCAGAACCACAGGAACGCTGCCTGAGTGGAAGTCCTACAACTAGGAGGAAAGAGAAACGCATACGGACACTCAGAGGAGGCGCAGTGCTGAAGTCAAATTCTGAGGTGCGGAGTGCGCGGAGCGGGCTGGCGGTGGAGGGCGCAGTTGGCGTTTTCAATCAGGAGGGAGGCGCAGTCTCTGAGCTCCAGATACAGGCGAGTCTTTAGGGACCCAGACTCAAACGGGAGAAGCGGGACTGTCTGGCTTCGGTCAGAGCGAGTGCAGCTTTCTCTCTGAGCTTTGCAGCGGGTGCTGGGACTCAGAGAGGCAGAGCCCCTGGGGACAGGACTGAGAGCCGCCATAACTGCTCTCTCCGGCCCACCCTGTTGATCCTGTGCGACCCGCCCCGCCCAAGCCCTGCACACAGGCATTTGCCGGATAGCCTCAGGCAAACGCCAGATTAGCACCTCCCTAGAGGACAGAAGTTCTCTCACTGCTGACACAGCTGATTCTCATAGCCACTTGGCCTGGAGGTCAAACCCTCCCTGGAATTAGCTACAACAATCAAGATTTAACTATAAGACTGTGAACAAAGACCACTAGGGGGTGCACCAAGGAAGCATAACAAAATGCGGAGACAAAGAAACAGGACAAAATTGTCAATGGAAGATATAGAGTTCAGAACCACACTTTTAAGGTCTCTCAAGAACTGTTTAGAAGCCGTCGATAAACTTAATGAGATCTACAAGAAAACTAATAAGACCCTCGATGTTATATTGGGGAACCAACTAGAAATTAAGCATACACGGACTGAAATAACGAATATTATACAGACTCCCGACAGCAGACCAGAGGAGCGCAAGAATCAAGTCAATGATTTGAAATGCGAGGAAGCAAAAAACACCCAACCGGAAAAGCAAAATGAAAAAAGAATCCAAAAATGCGAGGATAGTGTAAGGAGCCTCTGGGACAGCTTCAAGCGTACCAACATCAGAATTATAGGGGTGCCAGAAGATGAGAGAGAGCAAGATATTGAAAACCTATTTGAAGAAATAATGACAGAAAACTTCCCCCATCTGGTGAAAGAAATGGACTTACAGGTCCAAGAAGCGCGGAGAACCCCAAACAAAAGGAATCCAAAGAGGACCACACCAAGACACATCATAATTAAAATGCCAAGAGCAAAAGATAAAGAGAGAATCTTAAAAACAGCAAGAGAAAGAAACTCAGTTACCTACAAGGGAATACCCATACGACTGTCAGCTGATTTCTCAACAGAAACTTTGCAGGCCAGAAGGGAGTGGCAAGATATATTCAAAGTGATGAATACCAAGAACCTACAACCAAGATTACTTTATCCAGCAAAGCTATCATTCAGAATTGAAGGTCAGATAAAGAGCTTCACAGATAAGGAAAAGCTAAAGGAGTTCATCACCACCAAACCAGGATTATATGAAATGCTGAAAGGTATCCTTTAAGAAGGGGAAGAGGAAGAAAAAGGTAAAGATACAAATTATGAACAACAAATATGCATCTATCAACAAGTGAATCTAAGAATCAAGTGAATAAATAATCTGATGAACAGAATAAACTGTTGATTATAATAGAATCAGGGACATAGAAAGGGAATGGACTGACTATTCCTGGGGGGGAAAGGGGTGTGGGAGATGCGGGAAGAGACTGGACAAAAATCGTGTACCTATGGATGAGGACAGTGGGTGGGGAGTGAGGGCGGAGGGTGGGGCGGGAACTGGGAGGAGGAGAGTTATGGGGGGAAAAAAAAGAGGAACAAATGTAATAATCTGAACAATAAAGATTTAATTAAAAATAAATAAATAAATAAATAAATAAATAAAATAAAAAAAAAGATTAAAAAAAAAAAGAAAAAAAAAAAGAAAATTTCAGTATTTTCAGCTTCATACCACTGCAGAGGATATACTGTTAACCGGAAAAGGGAAGGGATGGTCTGGAGAGTAGATGCTGTAGTAATAGATGCATGCAATGAAATGCTACTTGGTGAGGTTTCAATTCCAAGGGCTCTTTACCAAATGGTGGGAAAGACACCAGTCATTCGGGTTATTGCAGGGGGAGCAGTGTGAGGGGTGGGGGTACAACTGCTTAGCACTCGGAATGGTGCCCCAAAGACTCCAGGTCAGGGGTGGAAATGGGAAGTAACCAAAATGAATTAATTCAAATTTGCCTCATGCATGAGAACAACTTTCCCAAAATTTGTATTTCACAAGTAATTGGTGTTAAAAGTAAACTTCACTCCTATTCTTCAGGTAAGGACATTCATTCACACCAGGAGCTGAGTCTGCAGGCAGAATCAGGTGGCTTTGGGGTTTTGTTAAAGACCAGCATCTATCGCCCAGGGGTATTTTCGGAACTTAAGATACTTAAGAAAGGAAAGCACAGCCAACCATCTGTCTAGGTTTCTGCAGGGGCAGCGCAGCCTAAAGTAGGGGGGCCAAGTGGCCTCCTGGAGCCTCTCTCTGGCCAGCTTTTGCTGCTAACTGGGGACAGCAGCCTGAGGCTGCTGGCCGGGAGATTCCAGCTGGCTCAGAGTCCCCAAAATAAGCCACAAAGCATTCAAGTCATGCTTACAGCTTTGATTCCAAACACGCTTTGTGTTTATCTGCCAGGCGGGGTTTTTTAATGGAATCTGTGTGCCTTCAGGCCAAGGAAGAAAACTGGCGGCAAAGGGGTGCAGGTTTGCTGGTCAACAGAGATATACTGTGTATGTTTATCTTAAAAACAGGAAAACACCACGACCACCTCTCGTCTAGGAGGAGTCCGGAGTGCCGGAAAGAACCCGCCGTTCAAAGGCAATAAAGCCATGGGCACAGGTTTCCTTGGACCCCTGGGGTTCACCTGGAGGCCAGTGGGCCAAGGAGGCCTCGTGACCGTAGAACGGAAGGGTTCTAGGGTGACAAGGAGCATCTCGCGGGGCACCCCAGGCGGCGGCACAGCCCTGGACCTTTTGGCGTGACTGACCCAGGCGACAGCGTTCAGAAGCTCAGATACAGGACCAGACCCACGATCCCTCCTTCCCGCTCCCGGGGAGACCCGAGAAGCAGGGCGTCAAAAACCGGGAGCCTGGGCAGCATTTCCACTCTCAAGACTAGATTCTCACTGACCACTGCCCAGGCCCCAAGCCTGAGCAGATCCCAAGCCCCCACCCCACAATTCCCCGTTCCTTCCACACAGACCCTCCTCAGACCCCACATCTTCGTCCTTCCTAGACCCCATGTTCCATTCCCTACGATCACAGACAGGGGTCCGTTACCTGCAGAGCAGCTCGACAACCCTGCAGGTAGTCCTCCATGGTGAAGCCCAACGTGCGCCACCGCCCCTTGCAGTGGAGAGGTTACTCGGAGAATGCGCCCCGCCCCGGACTCGGGGACTAGCGGTGAGAGTCAGGAGGCGGGACTCGAACTCGCCACACGGCGATTCGGCCCCGACGCCGGGAGGAAGTGCGTCATCCGACGCTCCGAGAGTCCGACGTCGCCCCGCCCCCAGCGGCGGAGGCGGAGTTCTACGCTCAGCGTCTCACGGGACACCTTTCCGGAGGCGCCAAGTGGGACCTGGCGCAGGGCGTCTTGGGAAATGTAGTCCAGAAGCTCCGAAATGGCCCCAGGAATTGAGCGGAGGAGAATTTTCTGAGATCACTCATTTGACACGTAACGTATATGTGTCACAGTAACCTATCTTTGTGACATCCGAACTTTCCCTTTCGAGTCAAACTAAGGATAGTTCATCTTTCCATCTATTACACCGAGCCTCTGGTTGGCATCTTAAATGACACGTGGCAAAACAGCTCTTCTTCACCTTCCTTTCTCGAATTCTCTCCCTTTAGCAAGCTGACCCATTGTCACCAACGTTGGGATTGTCCATTTTATAAAAACATTAGAATAATCTGTGGGCCCTCTTCTTAATGCCTACAATTTCTTGCCAACTCCTGCTGCTTCTTTCTTTACAACTGTGGCCTGTTTCTAATAGTCTCTGAAATCCTCCTCATTCTTCTCCCGAACTGTTGTAACCTGTGTTCTTTGCTCCCTGCCTCCCTAATTGCTTCAACCGCCCTTTCGGCCTTCAGAGTTGCTTGAGGTTTCATCCTATGGCAACCCTGTAAGTAGAGTACTGAGTTCGGAGGACCCTTCAGAATGTAGAGCTAGGTCCCAACCTCCTTTAACTGCCACCTTCCAGCCCCCGACAGCCGTGCAGAGTGCTGCACATAAATGTATTCTCGTCACCAAATGTTCCCTCCTTCCTTAACCCATCCCTTTATCTCCTGCCACCAGACTGACACCGGCTTCTCCTGCTCCCCACGCTAGGAACTGAGAGGAGGCGGCTGGTGTAAGTGGAAGCCTGTGGTGGGGCCCAGGAACAGAGCCCAGGGATATTGGATCTCCTGCTTGCCCAGCTACTTCTCTCCCTGCTGCACTCTTCTTCCCACAGCCTGGGCTTTCTTCCACACCTCCTTCGGCACTGGCACTGCCGGGGGCATAGCCCAGCCAGTTTCATTTCTAGACTGAAAAGGTGATAGAGTGAGGACTTGGAAAGGAGCAGGATTTTAAAAAAATTTAAATGACTGAACATGCAAAATATCTTGCTCTTTGGCCCTGCTTCTGTGGATCCAGAGCAAAGGACTGCTTTACCCGGGGAGAAAGCCCAAATCCAACACGCTGCTGCTGTCCAGCCCTGCTCCTCCCGACTCAGCGAGGGCACTTGCTCTTCCCTATTCTCACCAGAGAGGCACAAGCGCTCCGTCCCTTCCAGCGGCAGGCGGAGGCAGGAGAAAGGGTCTGTTGTTTTTCTCTCCTTGTTTCCCTCTCCCTCCCTGCTGATCACCAAGCTGCTGACCGGGTCAGAAAGCCCTGATGGAAATCCTCCGGTGCTGGGCAGGCCCCTCCTCCTCCAAGGAGCCTGTCCTTGACTAATTTTTCTTTGTCCCGATGGGAAGAAAAGAGCGAGAGAGAAAGACGAAAAAAGAAAAACCTCAAACTTCCTTTGAAAACCAGCTTGGAGTCAGGGCCTGAATCGCACATCGGCACTCGGCAACTCGGGAATCCTGAAGACACGCTTGGAGCCACGGGGGAGCACCTGGGCTGCACCCCTACCTGCCCTCGCCCTCCTCCCGTGCCCTGGGTCCTGGGCGTGAGTCCGGAAGTGGCCAGGACCCAGCAGGACCGCCCCTGGCTCATAAACCTGTGTAAGCTCTGGCGTTGACAGCTGGAAGGCAGCTGGGACTGTGGCGGCGCCCCCATCGAATTGTCGGAGCTGAGCCCACCTTCTCAGTCCTGGAACAGCCTTCTTTAAGGTAAAAACTTTGTTTTATCCGCATCCTTCAGCTCCTCTTCGACTCCCAGTTCTCTTTTTCCCCTCCAGCTCGGGGGAGGCGACAGTGACTGTCCTTCCACTCTGGTCTCTACAGGTCTGGATTGGGAGAAGAGTGAGGCAGGGAGAACATGTCAAAGGGATGCTGCTTGCTTCCTTATTTATTTTTCTTTTAATGAAACCTTCCCCCTCTCCATGGCGAGCAAGCACTGTGGTGGTGGTTGACTTACTCCGAGGGGAAATTTTAAACCATTAGTTGCTTGAAGATTTGGGTCAGACTGAGAAGGATATCGGAGTGGGACAGTAAGGGACACGCAGGGAGAGGGAAGTTCCTGGGATGGGGTAGGAGGGTGAGTGTCTTCTGGAAGCTCCCCACCCATTTTATAGGCTTCTTCCAACTTTTGGCTACTGACTGCCACTGCTAGGGAGGGGCCAGGGCTATTTTAACTCCCTCACCCGCAGCCAGAAGATCATTCCTGCTGGAGAGAACATGTAGGACTTGAATGGAGAAAAGAGGAAAAGAATGGAATCCTGATTTGTTTGGGTACCCCCTCCCCCAATCCTTTCCTGCTCGGAAATACTCCATGCCCACTCCACCAGGTGTGCACCTTACAGAGTGGAAGTCCTCCACTCCATTTCCGGCCCCGCCTCTTAGGGCTTAGCCCACTTTGCTTTGCCCAGTTTTTCTGTGACCCAGCTCCCTCACGTGTCCAGCTCCTGGTGCGTTTGGGCCCATCCCCTTAGCCAACTAGCTGCCCAACCCCCACTTAATTATTGATCTGGCATTGGACAGAAAAGATAAAGGAGCCCTGCTTTGCTACATGCTTTTTAAACTTTCCCAGGCTTGGTTCCTGCTTCCCAGGCTCATCCTAAGTGTCATCCGGGAAGGGAGGAAAGAAGGAGAGAGAAAAACACAGTGTCAGGCCTGTAGGCATTTTTTTTTCCCCTGCTCTAAATGAACAACAGGCAGATGAGATACAGCTTGCATAAATTATGTTTGAATCAGGAGGACGATCCATTTGGGTGACTAGGCTTATTTTGTGAACTTTTATGCTCCTCATCTTCATCTTCCAGGCCTTACTCACCCTTCCCCTAAATTCCTGCAGGAATGCAAGAAGGAAGCATAGTCTCAAATTAGGAAGAAGCCAAAGAGAAGATTTCTGACAAGTTTAATTTCTTTCTTTCTTTTTTTTTTTAAAACTATTGAGTTTAGGAAGCAAGAGGAAGGGAGAAGGGAGAGTGAGAGAGGGGGAGATAGATAAACATCAGTTTGTTGTTCCACTTAATTATGCATTCATTGGTTGAGTCTTGTATGTGCCCTGACTGGGCCTCGAACCCCGAAACATATTGGGAGCAGGTTCTAACCAACTGAGCTACCCGGCCAGGACAAGTTTCATTTCTCACCTTTTTTTTTACCCTGAGTCAGGGGTGAGGGGAGCATGTTTTCCAGAAGGCAAAGTTTGTGGCTTTTTATTGTTTATGATCCACAGCAGTAATTAAATGTCTGTTCCTGCTGAACTTGATGCTTAGTGCTGATAGAGAGCAGGTAAAACAGGTCCAGTGCTCACATCTAAAATGACCTAGATGGGGAACAGACAGAACATGTGCACACATCAATGAAGGTAGAGGGGGTATTTTTTATGTAAATAGATAATCATTTTTATATTCCGTATAAAGAGTGGCAAGAGAGTATCTCTGGGTTAAGACAGTTTGGGGAGCAAAGAGGAACTGGGGAGAAGTTGGTATCTCACCTCCAGAGAAGCTTACTGGAGAAATGGAGGCTGGGGTGGGGAGGCGGGTGTTATGCTCCTAACCTGAAGTTATTTATTAGCACAGCCTCTGTTCAAGGCCCTGCGGCCTACATTTCCCCTCTCTGGCCCACAGGAAGCCCCTCCCAAGACCTTTGTGTTCTGGTTTGAGATTGTGTAAAGTTCAGGGGAGCCCTTGGAGGAGAAGGACTTCTTTCTCAGCCTGCTCCGTCTTCAGGGGCACGGTACTGACTCTGCATCTCTCCTCTTCACCCCAAGCACTATGTGGCTGTTCGTCTTCCCACCCCTGGGATGAGGCAGAGAGAAGGTAGTTCGAAGGATGCCTTCTGACAAATGTAATTGTGTGTGCTCAGGACGATCCATGGACAGCCAAGGGCGGGGTGTGGTGTGGGGCAGAGGAATTACCTTGGTCCCGGCCAGGGTGGGAGCTACCAAGGTGATGCCTGTTACAGGGTGAGCTGGAGATCACTGTTAATAACCATTGGTATAGTTTTGTTGCTGTTAATCTTCACCCAAGGATATTTTTTCCATTGATTTTTAGAGAGAGTGGAAGGGAGGGAAGGAAGAAAAGGGAGAAAGGGAGGGAGGGTTGGAGCGAGGGAGGGAAGAAGGGAGGGGGAGAGAGAGAGAGCGCGCGAGAAAGAAACGATGTAAGAGCAACAGATCTACTGGTTGTGGGGATCGAGCCTGCCACCCAGGCACGTGCCCTTGCTGGTAATCGAACCCGCAACCCTTTGGTGAGAGGGCTGACTTTCTAACCGCTGATCACACTGGCCAGGCACCATTAGTGTAGTTTTAACATTTCTTTCTCCATCTCCTTCCCTTCTGTCTTTGTCCTTTTCTCTGTCTTTTCTGCATTCCTTGTCCTTATCTGTTCCAGGGAAGCTGATTCCACCCAATGTCTTCCATCATCTCACTGGACTCGTCCCTCCCAGACCGGAAAGCCCCGCACACTCTGGTCACAGCGAGTTAGAGGTGGACGAGCTCAGCCGGCCGCTCTTCTGTTTACTCTCGCTGACGAAGACTCTGCTCCCGTCGCCAGGAGTAACTGCGGACACTGCAGCCTTCCGCACCGCATTCCTCTTCTAAGACTTTTCTGGGCCTATTTGCTTTCCAGCCCAATGACTTGCTTCTTATTCGATCGGTCTCTCGGTTGCACATCAAGCCTAGATTAGGCAACTTCCTGAGGACTGTGAAGTCCTTTGGTGCCCCTCCGTTGACCTCTTCTGACCATGGAACACCATCAACCTGAGCGTCCAGTCTCTGGCAAGGCCAAGACTGCAGAAGCCGTCAGCCCTGAAAACCATGAGGTCCTCTCAGTACCAGATGAGCACCCCCAGGACAAGGATGCTGGAAATGCTATTGGGGCGGCCAGAGATGCTACTGGGGCGGCCAGAGATGCTACTGGGGCTGCCGGAAATGCTACTGGGGCGGCCAGAGATGCTGATGGGCCAGTTGGAGATGCTACTGGAGCAGCCGGGGATGCTGATGGGGCAGTTGGAGATGCTGATGGGGCAGTTGGAGATGTTACTGGGGCAGTTGGAGAACAGGAGCCAGTAGATCAAGGGTCACTGCCGGTCCAGGGCCAGGATAATCTTGAGTCCCCTCTGCCTGACACGAGCTCCAACCAGCCAGGGCCAGACCACAGGACGCAGCCTGAGGTAGAGACAGTGGGGGCGTGCTCCGGGCCCCAGGAGCTGCCCCAGTCCCCGAGGGCCCAACAGCTGGAGCTCGATTTCTACTGTGTAAAGTGGATCCCCTGGAAGGGAGAACGGACACCCATCATCACCCAGAGCACGAATGGCCCCTGCCCGCTCCTCGCCATCATGAACATCCTCTTTCTTCAGTGGAAGGTAAGAGAGTTGGGGGGGGGGGGGGGGGAGGAGGCGGGGCCTCAGAAACTGCTGAGGAGGGTCTCTTCCCTGACCCACTTCCTTGGTCATCCTGATTTTCACAAGCCAGTCAAAAGTTTTCAAGTTACTCTTCCTATTTCTCCAGCTGGAACAAATGAAAGAAGGAAGAGGTTCATAAAAACCAACAAAAAGCAGTTCTCTGTCCTCTTCCTGTATTGCAGTATTTCACATTCACTCCCTTGCTTCCATTATAAGCCTTCTTTTTTCCACCACACCCTCCCTCTAGGCAACCCCTGCCCCCCCCCCGCCCCCCACCTCCTATGGGTCTCTCCCGAGGTGCCCGGCGAAGGGGAGCAGCACAGGCTGACCCTCTGATCACTCTCTGCCTCCAGGTGAAGCTGCCCCCTCAGAAGGAAGTGATCACATCAGCTGAGCTCATGACCCACCTTGGTGAGTGACTGGGCCTTGAAGAGGAATTGCACAGAATTACGAGCACTATCCCCTCAGCCAGAAACCCAGAATATTGAGGGACTTCCCATTCGGGGTTCAGATGTGTCAGGGAGGGTGAAGGTCTCTGGGTGTCAGGAGTCCTGGGCTGTAGCTTTCCCATGTGACCCTGGGCAGGCCCTTCACCTCTGTGAGCTGATTTCTTCCTCTGGGACATGAAAGGTCAGGACTCGAATCTAAGGCCCTTCCCAGCTCTGAAAGCCAGTGGTTCGGTGACATTACCCCCGCCCAATCTCAGGAGAGGAGGACGCTGCTTTGAGGGCCATTGGTGGGGTAGACAGATAAGGAATCCTGTCTTGTAGGAGACTGCCTCCTGTCCATCAAGCCCCAGGAGAAGTCAGAGGGACTTCAGCTTAATTTTCAGCAGGTGAGCAAAAAGGTCTGTGGACAAAGAGGTTTGCAGCCTGGCAAGGGGACACCCAGGCCTATGAAAGGGAAGCCTTTCTGCTGCTTCTCAAGAGGGTTCCTTGAACTATGATTTTTTTTTTTTTCCTGCAGGAGGAAGAGGTGGGTAAATCTCTGTCCTAGAAAATAAGTTTATCTACATAAGATAAAGAGGGGTTGAGGCAAGGGAGGAATGGAATGGCTTGTAAGAGAACCTGGGAAGAAAAGCAACAAGCTTAATATTTTATTTCTGGGGGTGGGACTGGAATGGAGGGGAGGGGAGGCTAGACCATCATGTTCTAAGCTTCACTGAGATATGTAAGTTTAAGATATACAATGTGCTGCCCTGGCAGGTGTGGCTCAGTGGGTTGGGCACTGAAGGGTTGCAGGTTCAATTCCACGTTGGGGCATGTGCCTGGGTTTTCAGTGGCGGGTCGGGGGTGGGGGTGGGGGAGGGGAAATGCAGGAGGCAGCCAATCCATGTTTTGCTCTCACATTTATGTTTCTCTCTCTCCCTCTTCCTTCTTCTCTCCCCCTCACCGCCCCCCCCCCCCAAAAAAAGAATCACCCAACCAGTGTGGCTCATTGATTGAGCATTGACCTATGAACCAGGAGGTTATGGTTCGATTCCTGGTCGGGGCACATGCCCGGGGTTGCAGGCTCGATCCCCAGTGGGGGGCATGCAGGAGGCAGCCAATCAATGATTCTCTCTCATCATTGATGTTTCTCTCTCTTTCTCTCTCTCTCTCTCTCTCTTCCTCTCTGATGAAATCAATTAAAAATATTTTAAAAAATCAATAAAGAGCCCTAACCAGTTTGGTTCAGTGGATAGAGTGTCGGCCTGCGGACTGAAGGGTCCCAGGTTCTATTCCTGTCAAGGGCATGTACCAGAGGGGGGTGTGCAGGAGGCAGCTGATCGATGTTTCTCTCTCATCGATGTTTCTAACTACCCCTCTCCCTTCCTCTCTGTAAAAAATTAATAAAATAAATTTTTAAAAAATCAATAAAGATATGCAATGTGTTAATTATTTAATATATCCGTCGATTTCATTTCTACCCCCAGAATGTGGACGACGCAATGACCGTCCTGCCCAAACTGGCCACCGGTCTGGATGTCAATGTGCGGTTCACAGGGGTCTCCGATTTTGAGTACACACCTGAGTGCAGTATCTTCGACCTCCTAGGCATCCCCCTGTACCACGGCTGGCTTGTCGATCCTCAGGTGAGGGCGAGAGGGCCCAGATGAGACGCTTGTCCAGCTCAAGCGACAGAGAAGCAGCGTTTAGTGGGCTGGGGGTTAGAGAGGTAGGGGTTAGGGATGTAGGGATTCGATTGGCTTTGGAGGGAATCCGGTTTAGAGGCAGGACCCAGTGGAGAATTCCTTGAACCTTAAACATTTTTGGTAACATTCAAATACAAGCAAATCATAGGCAGTTATTGAGACGGCCAAGGTTTCAGGAACCTTTGGTCCTAGGGTTGCAGTCCATTTCCTTCCTAAAAAGATCTCAATTTTTTTTTCTATTATTACCCCACCCCACTGCCCATGCAGAGTCCTGAGGCTGTGAGTGCAGTTGGGAAACTGAGCTACAATCAGCTGGTGGAGAAGATCATCACCTGCAAGCACTCCAGCGACTCCAACCTGGTGACAGAAGGTGAGCCCCCCACTTCTCTCCTGTGGCTCTTATGTGGAGGGGACGAAGGCTGCTTTGATTTATTGTTCATTGTCTATCCCCCGCCCCCCCCCCCTGCAACCACATCCCACTAGAAAGGGAGTTTGGGGAACACATTAGTCTCCCTAGTACAGTGCCTGGTGGGCGCGAGGTGGCTGCTCAGCAACTGTTTGTTGAATGAATGACAGCAGCCAGGCTCCAGGGAAGAGATTTCAGAGGGTGGGACCACCCCCGCCCCCCCCCCCAGCCTTTGGACAGAGACTCTCTGGGTGACCCCCCACCCCCCACCCCGTTCTGTGGACTTGGGATGTGAGCCAAGGCCCCGCCCCCGCTCCTTGTGCCCTCCGGCAGGCCTGATCGCCGAGCAGTTCCTGGAGACCACCGCGGCCCAGCTGACCTACCACGGGCTGTGCGAGCTCACCGCGGCTGCCAAGGAGGGCGAACTTGGCGTCTTTTTCCGGAACAACCACTTTAGCACCATGACTAAGCACAAGGTGATGGGGCGTTGGGGGTGGGGGAGGGCTGGAGTGCTGTTTGTTTCCTCATGCCTTTTCCTTCTGGGTCCGTGTTTTCGGTCAGGGCAGGGGAGATCAAGCGCTGATAACCAATGACCCCCACAGTCCCTGTGGTTTCCTGCAACCAAGGTTTATTCCCCACGAATGCTGCATGGCCGCTGCAGACACTCGCCTCATCTTCACTCTGGGTCTCAGGCTGACAAAACAGCCTTTACCTGGGGTGTAGTGCTCCCACCCGGAAGTGTCATTTCTGCTAACATCTCATTGGCCAGAGCAAGCCATAGGAGTGAGCCTGCCATCCATGGGACAGGAAAGTATAATCCTGTCCCATTGGAAGGGACAGGAAGGGAATTTTTATTTTATTATTTTTAAAATATATATTTTATTGATTTTTTTTACAGAGAGGAAGGGAGAGGGATAGAGAGTTAGAAACATCGATCAGCTGCCTCCTGCATACTCCCCACTGGGGATGTGCCCGCAACCAAGGTACATGCCCTTGACCGGAATCAAACCTGGGACCCTTGAGTCCGCAGGCCGACGCTCTATCCACTGAGCCAAACCGGTTAGGGCTATTATTATTATTATTATTATTATTATTTTTTAATCTTTGACTGAATTTTTAATTGCTCTTACAGTTACTTGGTCAGTTATTTGTGTGTGTGTATGTGTGTGTGTGTGTGTGTGTGTATGTGTGTGTGTATGTGTGTGTGTATGTGTGTGTGTGTATGTGTGTGTATGTGTGTGTGTATGTGTGTGTGTATGTGTGTGTGTATGTGTGTGTGTGTGTATGTGTGTGTGTGTATGTGTGTACCTGTGTACCTTTTTTAAATCTTTCTTGACTCATGCAAGCTCAAGGTGTTTGCATGGTCATAGAATATTATTCATTTCATCCACATTTTCAAGTATATTTATATAAACCTTACATAGTTTTAAGGTTTTAAAATTTATTACACATATAGCTAAGCCCCTCTTTTCATTTCCAAAGTTGTTTTCATTTTTTTTTTTTTTCTGATCTTATTTGCTGTACTGCTCTTCAAGTAACAATCTGTAGCATTACCGACCAGGTAAACTATTTTCTTTTCTCTTCTGTATCTTTATCTCTATATACCCGCATCTGGCTTTTATTCATCTTTTTGGGGGGATTATTATTATTTTTAATTTATTGATTTCAGAGAGGAAGGGAGAGGGAGAGAGAGATGGAAACATCAATGATGAGAGAGTATCATTGATCAGCTGCCTCCTGCCTGCCCCCTATTGGGGATGGAGCCTGCAACCTGGGCATGTGCCCTTGGCCTGAATCGAACCTGGGACCCTTTAGTCTGCAGACAGACGCTCTATCCATGAGCCAAACCAGCTAGGGCAGGAAGGGAATTTTCCAACAGTACCAAAGTCTTCCCAAGTTAGAAATCGTTTTAGCTCTCTAGGACTTGAGTAGAAGAGGGAGATGTCTTTGGTTCTCGAAGGATTTCCCCACACGGCCATCAGGTGAGCCTCGGGAACGGTGGGAAGCAGGGGAGGAAGCAGGATCCCAGCTCTGAGGACTCCATGCCTGACCACAGGGACCGCCATGCTCTCACCCAGCTGACCGTCCACTTGGACGTCCCTTCTCTCTCCCCTCAGCCGCTCATTCTCATACAAGACCCGCAGCTCACACTGACATGTTCCAGCTGGCACCCCCATTGGCTCAGATGGCCTCCGGGCATCTCAGATGACGTGGGGCCGGCAACCGCCTCTAGCTCACCTGTCCCACTAATTAGCTCTGTCCCTTCCTTGCAGAGCCACCTGTACTTGCTGGTCACCGACCAGGGCTTCCTGCAGGAGGAGCAGGTGGTGTGGGAGAGCCTGCACAACGTGGACGGGGACAGCTGCTTTTGTGACTCTGACTTCCACCTGAGTCATTCCCTGGGCAAGGGGCCTGGAGCAGAAGGTGGGAGCGGCTCCCCGGAAAAGCAGCGGCAGGTAGACCAGGTGTGCGGCACTTTGGGGAAGGGCGCAGAGAGCACGTTCCCTTCACAGACCTTTTTGCCGTCTGTGAGCTGTGTGCATCGCGTCATCGAGCGATGATTACATGACACCCCTGTCCCTTTCCTGTTACCTGGGGGCCATCTCCACGCTTGGTGGGCATTCTCTGGCGCCACAGAGAACGTGCTTGGCTGTGTGGTCTGCTCTGGAGGAGGAGCGAGAGAAATGGAAAGATGAGGAGGAAAAACTGGTTTGGGAACCTAAGCCCAGCCGGAATATCTCCCAGGCCGCAGCCCACCTCACAACCCTGCTCTCTCCCGCTCTCTGCAGGACTACCTGATCGCCTTGTCCCTGCAGCAGCAGCAGCCACAAGGCACGTTGGGTCTCAGCGACTTGGAGCTGGCCCAGCAACTGCAGCAGGAGGAGTACCAACAGCAGCAAGGGGCCCAGCCGGTGCCAGCACGGGCCCCGTCGCCACAGGTGAGCCCGCTGTACCCTGTCCTCAGCAGCTGTTATTCTTCAAGGTTTCCCTGGGGGGCCCTTCTCCTGTCTGGCCCTCTCCCCTGGATCCCTTCCTCTCTTCCTCTCCCCACTGCCCCTCCCCATTCTGACCCGCTTCCATCCAGAATCTGTCCTTGTGCTCTGCCCAGGCTGATGGACGACCACTTGTTAAATCCCATACAGGGGAGAGGAACTCCATCTGGTCGCCCGGCAGGAGAGCGGCGGCGGCGGCCCAAGCCGGAGTCCGACTGTGTCCTCCTGTAGCGCCCGGTGCCCGGTGCCTGGTGCCAGGCTGCCCTGCCTCTTCTGTCAGAGGCTGTGACTATTTGGCTTGCTCTCCCAGGTCACCCCCTGAGATATGCAGGGTAACTTATTTATGGACTGTTGGGGATCCGAGCGGGAAGGAAATGTCAAGGTCAGACTCGGCGACATTCTTGCTCACTCACTGCGGCCTTCTCTTCCTCCCAGTCACCCAGGGCAACAGTGGGACTGCTGGGGTGAGGATGTCTGATCCCCAACTCCCTCTGCCCAGAATATCACACTAATATACAGACTCAGGCTCCCGGGTGAGGTCCCTGCCTGAAATGCATCTCCCCTACCTCCCCCCTGACTGGCGGGGTCCTTCCGGCTATCCTGCAAGTCCGTCTCCCTCTGTTTCAGGATTTGATTTGGGTTTCTATCTTCATTATTTGTAATGCCTTCCTAGGGGTTTGGAAATAAAAATTGTCTCCTGAGATCTGTTGTTTGCCATACCCTGCAGCAATGGGGTCAAGTGGTGAAGCATTTGACCCAATTGAGGAATGCAAAGGGGGAGGGAAGGTAGAGGTGTGAGGGGGTTGCCTGTCATATCGGAATGAGCCAGCAGGGGGAACCAGAGCCTGCTTTTCCCTTCGCTGTTTGTGTTCCTCTGTTTCTGCTGGGCCTTCTTTGGGAAATAGTCCTCTGATTTGGAGGTGGGTTTCCAAGTCCCCCTTTGGACGGATGAATGTAGGGATTGTGCTCCCTGCTAACCCGAGAGACTTCCCAGGCAGGCAAGAGGCAGCTTGATCCTCGGCTTGCCTCCCAGTTTTGTACAGATGGTCCTTTGCTACCTCTGACCATTTCTGACCTTGTTCAGGTTCCTGTTTCTCAATTATTTTGCCTAAAATTTCCTGGGGAAGAGAGAATAATGGGGGGGAGGGGGGTGCGGGGGGGAGAGACAACCCTAAGGGAGGGGGGTTGTTGATAACTGCAGCTCTAAAGTCCAAAACAGGATTCCTGTTGAATAACCAAATGCACTTCAACTTCAAGGCCTCCTCCCAGCCCCATGTCCTGCTCCACCCAAACTTCAATCAGGGAACACAAACAAGAATGAAATTAGTTAAAAAAAAAACTACCGGTGTGGGTGAGATATTCTGCCCAGGGTATGGGAAGAAGGAGCAGGGCAGAAACTATCCAGGAGATCCCATTAACCCACACCTAAGACAGAGCTAGGCGACCCAGGTGCAGCTCCCACTTTGAGATGAGGACAATGAAGGGATTTAAAAGAAAACTTCGAGTTCCAGCCTCAACGAGAAGCTGGAACATGTAATGCTCAGTGAGGGGTTATCCTATTTGGAGGCTCGGCTGGTCTCCTGCAGGCTCAGCCAAACATGGGACGCTCAGATCCTTGCATGTCATGTGGGAGTGGAAGGGGGAGGGGGTCTCAAAGGTCTTCGGCTCTGCACAGGGCTAGTAGGGCTAGACGGCAGTCCCCTTTCACGGCATCCTGCAGACAAGAGAATTAAAGGTTAGAAAGACCAACTACCGCTGTGGCCCAGGACTCTGCCCCCGCCCTCGTGCTGGTACAGAATTTGTCTGGTGCCCGGAGCCTTAGGAGCCTTACACTAAGTTAACCGGAGACTCGTGAATTCTCCAGGGCGTATGCTCAGCTGTGTGCGGGGAGCGCAGCGGGGAGCGAGGGCAGAGCGCTCACCTGGAGGGAAGAGTAGAGGGACTTCCCAAACTTCCTTCTGAACTCAGCTCGGATGCTTAGAAGGTCAGTCTCACTTCTAGAGATAAGGATGCGCATCAGGGCTTGGTAATTGGGCTGGGTTTCCTAGCGGGAGAAGAAACAGAATGGGGAGGGGGATGGCAGTGAGATTCTCAAAGAATAGGGATTAGATGTCACGGTAAATTATTCTAGAAAGTGGAGGTGAGGTGCGTGTCGAGGGGAAAGAGAAGAGGTTATCTAGGGCAGTGGTTCTCAACCTGTGGGACGCGACCCCTTTGGGGGTGGAACGACCCTTTCACAGGGGTCAGCTAAGACCATCGGAAAACACATATGTAATTACATATTGTTTTTGTGATGAATCACTATGCTTTAATTATGTTCAATTTGTAACAAATTGGGGGTCACCACAACATGAGGAACTGTATTAAAGGGTCACGGCATTAGGAAGGTTGAGAACCACTGATCTAGGGGAAAAGTTATCTTTGTCCATCCTCATGGAAGATGGCGCAGCAGGAAAGATCTGGCTCCGGCAGAAGCTGGGGTACTATTCTTCCCTTCCACGTCTTTCCTGGCCAGGCCACTAGCTCAGAGCCTCGCTCCCCCAGAGCTCGGTTCGTGGGCAGCTCCAAAGGCAGGCACTCAAAAGACATGAAGTCTCCAGGGCATATGCTCAGCTGTGTGTGGGGAGTGCAGCGGGGAAGCGAGACTTGCTACCTATAAAGCTTCCAGCATGAAAGCCAGGAAGACAGTTTTTAACTCCCAAGTGAATGAGTGTCCCAGGAGGATACACCACCCTACCCCTAAGCCGGGGTGTTGGGGTTCTGACCGGGCACAGTCATGGGACTTCCGGTTCTGATCTGGGCCCACCAGGGCCATCTCCCTGCCCCATCTTTACACATCAGTTTCTCCTGGCTGGACCCCTGGGGTTCAGCATCCCTGTCTTCCTCCTCTACCTGCACCAGGCCTCCGGCTTTCTGGTTAAAGACGGTAATGGAGGGTCCCATTTAGACATAATAGCGGTACAAAACATGACCGGGTCATGAATGACAATTGATGATCATCAGTAATGTGCTATCACAAGAGATTGCAAAATAAGCATTTTTGGTTGCAGAAGTCCTGTTTGTGTCATGAGCTGTGCACTGGTGCTGTCCCCATTTGCTACCACCCTCCTTTTCAGAGTTTGCTCAGTCACTTGACTCCCATGACCCTTCCCAGAAGTGCCTGTAACCCACACTCATGCCATTCCCACGGATCTCCCATGAAGAAACAAAAGAAAGTGATGAAGTAAAAAGAAAATGCTATATTTCATTTGGACTCATTACCTGATTGGCAGTGGGCCTGATGGCTACTTTATTTTAAAAATTTCATGTGTCATCAGTTTTGTGTCGTGATAAGGATTGTAATTGCTTCCCAGTATCCCTTCTTCCAACTCTTGTTACGCCAAAGGTGTAGAATTTGGGCAAGGGTCACTCATTAACTGAATATTCCCACTGGTATACAAGTACCCTCCACACCAAACCTATATTAAACATAAACCTAGTCTTGACACTTGAGAATGTACTTGGCATCTGATTGGCAAGCTTTTTGGAAGTTTTCTGAAAAAATTTATTCAGAAAAATGGGCCTATCTTATTTTTAGACTCTTCCTTCTAAGATAAATCTAGCATTTATATTCAAGAGTGTGAGTCCTGTAATCCAAATACATACATTACAATTATTTACTGCTGGGATACAATTTGTTTTTATGACGCAAATGAGATAACCACAACTCTAGTGCTGACTCACTATAATAATACAGGCTTTATTGGGTAAGTATAATAATCCACTGTCAAAATGGTAATCTCTAGATGATAGAACAAGTGCTTATATGCACTGTCTTTGTTTTTTGTTGGTACTGTCTTTTGAATAGCTGTCAACAAGGCATGATGGCTTCTCAACCAGTATACAAAAGGCTAGTCCATTGGCCAAAATAATAACCATTTTTATATTCTTCACATTTTCGAGGATTTTTTTTTTTACTTATAGCTTTGGGGGACCTGGCTCAATGAGCAAAATGACTAGATTCTGCTTATGAAATTATTCAAACCAAAGTCACCAATTTAATTATGAGTAATATAGAACAAAGTCTGACAGTGTGAACACATGAATGTGTTCCTGGTGCGCTTACGGTGTGGTTTATAGCACAGGCACACCTTGGAGGTATTGTGGGTTTGGTTCCACACTACCATACTAACACGAATATCACAATAAAGCCAGTCACACAAACTTTTTGGTTTCCCAGTTCATGGTAAAAATATGTTTGCACTATGTTGTAGCCTATTAAGTGTGCAATAGCATTATGTCTAATAAAGCAATGTATATACCTTAATCTTAATATACTTTACTACTTAAAAAGGCTAGCCATCGTCTAAATCTTTAGTGAGTTGTCATCTTCTTGCTGGTAGAGGGAGGGTCTTACCTCAATTTGTAAAAAAACTCAATCTCTACACGCTCAATAAAACAAGGTGGGACTGTATAGACCAACACCTATGGGATAGACGAGGAGTTGACATGTGACAGTTCAATGTCCTACAGGAACATTATGTATTTTGTAAGGAGAATAGATGACTTAATAGCTGTGTGACCTTGGCAAGGTGTGTAATCTCTCTGCTTCACTTTCTCATCTATAAAACAGGCATTAACTGAAATGAGGGCAATGTGTTCTACATAAGCCCTGGTGCACCATGAACGCCTACGCCATGCTGGTTCTTGTCGTTATTCTTGCTGGTGTTATAACCATCACCGTTCTGGTAAGAACTAAAACTGGGCAAGGCACTGTCCCCCAGCACAAATTCATATCGATATGTGGCCACCTGGACATGAATCAGGCCAAAATGTTAGCTTGAGTGCCCGTAAGTCAACTAACTTAGCTCTAACCACAGCTCACGCCTCTACTCTTGGCAAGACAGTTTGTAAACCTGAGAGCTGCTATAAGTTTATAAAGTAAATATGAAATTGTTGCATTAGCAGCAGCAATGTGAAACTTCCTCTCTCTTGCCCAGGAAGTGTCTCCCCCAGCTTTTGTCCCCAAGCGGAAGAGAAAAGGAGTGTCCCTCTTACCCTAAGGGCTTGGTGAAGTTTATCGGCAAAGTACAGCGCTGTGTTCCTGATCACCGAGGCTGGAAGCAAAGAGGGAGAGATGGAGAGAGGTAGCTCTAGTTCCCGGGAGACCCCCTACCCACGTGGCCTGAGCAGGCCCCTACCTAGGCTGAGCAGAGCCCTCTGGGCATCTCCATGGAAACGGTTCCGGACGGTGTGCTCCAACTCATGCCCGGTGCGCCGCTGGTACTGATCAAACACTGTGGTGTGAGGAGGAGGTGGTTAGAAGGTAAATGCGGGGGCTGATTATCACAGAGAAGGATGAGCTTCCTCACCTTCCTCAGGCAAAACCCATCATCAGAGCAAGTGGGGGAGGCAAGAGGGCTCATGTGTACCTCGGACGAGGTGTTCAGGGTTTCTCTGGGTGAGGATAAGGACCCATATTCCTTCTGTGCTGGGTCCTTCAGCCTGCTTCAATGCCTGGGAGTGGGGAGTAAATTAGGATCGTTGGTTGGGGGCTGCAGAGCCATGGTTACCATGTTCCCAGAATCCATCACAATGATGGTGGAAATACGATAAGGGTGAAAAAATTTATATCTATCTATCTATGGGGGGGGGGGGGGTGGCCAGGGTGGCTCAGTGGTTGAGCATTGACCTATGAATCAGGAGGTCACAATTTGATTCCCT